AAAAACAACACCCGTGTACTTGGATTATGTTGGGGTTTTTTTTATATTTTATGATGGCGAGTTTAAAAATGTACCTGCACATCAACAATACGAAAGAGATATCTATTATCGCACTTAATCGTTAAGTAGGTACTTGATTGACAATGGTCTTAAACATATTTACTTGTTTATTATGATATTAATTTTTTTGTCAATAAAACTAACAACAATAAAAACTGAGGCCACCCATTAAAAAAATTTCAGGTTACAACTGCACGTCTAATATAACTGCTGCACCAAAAAAAAAAAAAAAAACAAAACAAAACAAATGCAATATTACCTATTACCCTGGATATAAATATCAACATCCACTCCGTATAACGCCACATCTTTGTGACATCATATTATAGAATCTTGGATCACACATGTGTTATTATAAAAATTATTTTATGATTTAAGGTCAATTTACTGTAGTCGATAATAATAATGGTGGCAAGATTATGGAATGAAGTTTTACAAATAATTATTATGACTAGGTAGTCACGTACTCACGTCATGGATTGCTAAAAAACATCGTTGGTTTATGCTTTTTTGGATTAGGGGATAATAGTAAAAGCTTAAACGTGAAAAAGTGAAAGAAAAAAATGTTTTTCTAAGCCTCCACACTGAAAGTCATTGATTTTAATTTTTAAGTGTTCACAACATTATAATTTAATAAGAAACTTATAAATTGATCTATGCCATAACAAAGTATTATGTCATTTTACTCGTTAAATAAATTGATTTTGTGAAATGGCCATAGACAATAGGTTTATAATGAAGTCGTTAATTGTACTATTGTAATTGTACCAAAGCCAGGTCTAAATAGGAATGTAATAGACAAATTGAGTGGTAATTTGTAATAATATTATGATTTATCTGAAGAAATAGTACACTGATGTATCGTTAGCTATAATTGTATTGTTATTAATTATTATCAATGTTAAAATAATTTTAATGTAGGTACTTGTAATTGTGGAATGCAAACTGATGTAATTCAAAAAGAATAATAATAATTATACGTTTGATACTGATTATTTCCAAAGAATTATTGTAGTTATAAATCGTAGTTATTATTTATGAGTATAATTATTTATTTAAGGATATAAAAATAGTATAATGTGTTTTTTTTTGTTTGTATTTTTCGTATGTAACTATTAGTTTTTGAGTCAAATACGAGGAAAAATCTCATTACATAATCAACAATATTTATTAGGTACTTTTTTGAGAATTTAAAAATTTATCTGAAAGTAAGTAAGAAAAAAACCGGGTAATTCGCTTTGCCCATTGCTGTATAGTAAGTACTAAGTGATTTGTGTAAGTATAAAGTTTACAAAAATAAACAAATAAAAACACACACCATTGTAAAATAAAGCTGTTAATATATCACCTTCTTTATTTGTGTTATTATTATTTATGTATATTTTTAATATATCTTTTTTAAATTTCATACACGTAAAAACCGATTGGCGTTTAAATATATAAATAAATGAATTGTTTTAATTAGAATTTAAAAACATCAAAAATATGTATAGGTACCTACTTATATACAATTTTTTTGAATGTTTGTCACGTGCTAGATATGACTTTGCTATATCAGATTGCCACTTGAAATACAATTTTAGATCTATCATTATTCGTCTACTATTATATAATAAATTGAACGAAGTATAAATATATATATATATATTTATATATATTTAAATATTACTAATAAACTTATATAACTTTATAAGTTTATAGTAAATAAAATTGCCTTACATTATTTGAAAAAAATTAAAATAAACCTAAAAACTATTCCAAGTGTATTGCCTGTATGTAGATAATATAATATTTGCATAAAACAATTTATTAGCTTTTTATAAATTATAGTTGTAAAATTTTATTTTGCATCCTGTGTTGTAATATACATATTACATATAATGTAATTTTATTCATAAATACATTTTTAAAACATATACCTAATCGTTTTTATACGGGGACAGTGACACCGAAGTTTATCACCTTCATAGGGTCATCTATATACTATCAATTAGAACGGAACAAAATTAAAGTATTATATACAGAGTGATCCATCATGTTCATCCCTAATTGATCATTCAACAATGAATTTTTTTTAAATTTAAAAATAGTGTACTTTAGAATACTTATGGACTTTTAAGTATATGTTTTCGAATACTTATAAATTTAGACATGTGTTTTAAGGTTGTATAAATTCATTTTTTCAAAACAGATTTTTTTTTATTTGAAAATTTTTATGTATTATAATATGTTATGTTATTATGTATGATTTGAACGAGTAGTTTTTAAGTTATTGTAAGCTTTACGCCTAAAGGATAATAGCCCCTCATAATTATCTCACATCAAATAACAACACAAAATAGGTGTAATATATAAATATATATATATTAGCTTAGTATTTATTAGTTATTAGTCATTAAACATAGACTACGTTTACAAACTATGAAACGTTTATTATAGAACGATAATAAGTTATTATTAATAACAAAAGTATTTACTAAAATTTTTAAATCATTATAACTCTTGTAACTAATGTTTTATTTTATTCTATTTAGACGGGTGGCTTATCCAATTACACAATATAATTTAATTAATAGTACCTATACAATCATTACACGAGATTATATTTGGTAAACAGTTGAGAAAGTACACAATTTAAATATGTATTAAGATCATTAATAGTTACGCGTAAAACAAGATCAAAATAATACTTATTTAGTAATACTATACATTTACTTACAGGAGCATTAACACTATGAATCTTCAGCTAAAATGGCACTTAAAAAGTATTTGATTGTCTATAGTGCTACGACTAAGAATAGAAAAATTTAATTTAGCCATAAGTATTAGACAGCAAATATTTCCATTAAGTAATTTAAAAACGAAGCGGATATTTAGTCTTAGTCGTCTTGCTTTTAATGATTTGAGGTTTAAAAGTGTCTGGTAAGAGAAGTGAGGTTGTCCTTTAATGTTACATCTAAAAGATACTGTACTTAATAACCAATTTTGTATTTATTCTAAAGCTTGTGTTAAATTTACTGTTTTTGGTGACCAGACTATAGAATTTTAATCAAGAACTGAACGTTATATCTGTACGCTGTATAATAACTTCAACATATTTGGATTTTTGAAGTCTTTACAGTATCTAATTAAACACCTAACATAGAGAAACTTTGCTTTGCAAATGTGTGCAATAAATTTTAGTAGAGAAAAGCGTGTGAACGAATTTATCCAAATACTTACACTAGTTAACACGAGTGAGTTTATTTTATGCAAAATTATAACCACTAATTATTATTATAATCCTTTTAAAATCTTTGATTTTTATAAATCTTAATTATAATGAATAGTTGTTGAGTTATTAAATTGTATGCAATAGTCTTTAATAATAGTTTTATATAAAACATAATAAATATATGTAATAATATCTATTTGGTCAAGTGTACGCTACTCACGCAATTTTTATAAATTTTTAAATTTTAATTAATTAATTTTGATTAATTTTATAATAAAACCATCATAATCTATTTATTAAATTAAATACCTATAAGTTATAGACTTTAATATCTGTATAGTAGTTTAATTATAATATTATAATAACTCAGAAACGACTCGTTTGAATTTTGTATTCACAAATACATTAACATTTTTAGTAAAAATCCTTCGATTGAAAATTTACATTGAAAAAGGAGGTTCTAATTAGAAAAAAAAAAAATTCGTACCGCCACATGATACGCCTTAAATAGTTAAATAGTATACAAAAAATATAAATATTGTTTGAAAATGTAGTCTTAAAGTAAAATTATAAGAATTTTAATTAACGCGTTATTAAAATATTAAAAGGAGGGGGGGGTGATGGTGCTTGGTTAATCACTCTGTATATTATCATAATAAACACATGTAGGTATATATGTATATTGAGATTCACATTTTCTCTAAACTACAGTTGCATATATTTTGTACTAGTCGATCCGGTCACTTCTCCTGCGTTAGCAGGTTAGCGTGTTCGAGGTGATTGTGAATCACGTGATTTTGTTTTTTATTATACTTTCGACTTTTTGTTTGTTCACCGCAATTATATTATTATTGTTTTCGATATTTAAATAATTGATATCCGATAGGTGTATTAAAACTTATAAAACATAATCTGCCGGGCGGTCCGGGCGGATTAACGTGTTCAGTTTCGAGTGTATATATAGCAAAACTGATCGACAAACATCGGAGCAGTTCAATGTGATTGATAGAATCATAAAACAATAAGTGAGTACACGTACCAATTAATATAAGAAATATGTTAGTAAATAAATAGATATAGTTATTGCCGGTTGTGATGTTCTTTAAAATTTGCTCTTTGCGATTGCCGATAACATTTAAAATGATTAATAACTATTAGGTATTAGGTAGGAATGCATTATACTTTTATTGAATGTAATTTAAAAATAATAATGTTATGATGAGCCTTTGAACAGATGTTCTAATCATTTCGATAACAGTTGTATCACAAAATTTATTTTATATTAAAATTAATGTTACTATTGATTCGCGAAAACTTCAATTGGGATTTCGTTATAAAATATAAAAATTCATCCACCTAATTCCTTAATTATTACGTATCTATACAAATTCCATATTACATGTTTTTATTATAAAAGTAATGTAACTCAATCATAAATATATATAAATTAATTAAAGTAGTGATACAAATATAAAATTAAGTCATATAAAATTAAAATGTAGTTTTCAATAATTTTATAATTATTATTATCCAAAAATCTGTCATTGTATTTACTTATAATCAATATTTTATTCATAGCGTGAAAAATTGTCTATTTATTTTATTAGCTACACATTAAATATATTTAATTAAAGACATAGATTAAATATTATAAATTTATGTTAAATTATTAATTAATAACTTTCTGATTTAATTGTTATAGGTGTTTTTAAGTATTAAAATCAAAATGGACAATTGGAAGAAAATATCGTTTTTGGTTGGTGTGTTTGCATTCGCTAGAGAATTCCGACCTATCGAACCATTTTATGCTGCATACATGACTAGTCCTTACATTAATTGTACAGTCGAACAGGTAACGCATACTTAATTATTCTTAATATTTTTTGATCATCTTATAAAAATAAGATACTTATAGATACTATACTAGTAGTTGATACTTAATTTCGATTTTTTAATTCATTTTTGTTTTTGACAAAGTAAAACTAAAATATATAATTGTTTTATGGTTTTGTTAAACCATTCAAGGGTTATTTAAATTTCTCAAAACAAAACAACAACAAAATGTTAGTATATATATTATTATATTAAACTATATAGGTATTTAATATTTATTTACTATTATTTATTATATTTTCAAGTCTAAGACCATTTTTAACTTTTATTTTTTATTTGATATTCAAAGAAAAAATTAATCATTACAATAAATAATACATTACCTAAAGGCTAAAACGTTATTTACATTTTAACATAAAATATATACCCGCTATTACTATGCTAATAATTTGAAGATGAACAGTTATTTTAAAGTAATAAATTTGATGACAATTTTGTACAACTCATTTTGTTATTAATTTTTAAACAATTCGAAAGTTATCTGTATGGTTTATCTTATGAACAACTAAATTGTGACAGGTCTTAAAGGAATATTCGTCTTTTAAGAGTATTATATTATAACATATTTACCGACTTGAGCTTTAAACGTAAACCGTTAAGAATACGCGCGCACAATAAACACGTGGGTGAACAAGTACAGTCATCGTTGATCTCTGTCTTGTGCTCTCCTAGAGAAAGTATTTTTATTTCATAAAAATAATTTAGCATAAATAATTTATTTTATTTTATTTACTAAAATTAATATAGTGAAATTAATTTTTCTTAAACCACAAAAATTGTCAATTGAGTACCTAACTAAAGTTTTTTTACGCAATTTTGTACTTTAAAGAGGATACGTGTATTTTTTTATATTTATTTATGACTGTCATAATTTTTTTTATAGAAAAAGTAGATATTTAAATAGTTAAAGTAAAGTAAACATCATCAAAATATAAGATCATTTACAAAACATGTGATTTTTTTCATTAATTTCAGCAGATTTCATACAATAATTACAATTTGTATTTTTCGAGTCATAATCATACACATATATCTAATACATAAGAATTTATCAAACATGTGTGTATTAATCGTTATTACTTATTATTAATAATATCATTATTCATTAAAACAATTTAATGGCGGGTAGTTGAAGATTGAGTGTAGTATTTATCTACAATTATTTTAATTCCAGTGATATAAAAAACATTTTAATACCTATTTATGAAATCGTGCAATTAAATTAATTTATGAATAAATTATTATAAATTAGTATTGCCATATACAGGCCCTCTACATCAAATTTTAGGCCCATGTACTAAATGTTTTTGCGAGCTCTATGCAGTAAACTTCCAATAATAAAATTTACCACAGATTATTAAAAGTCAAGAATAATAAGCATTTTGAACATATTTATGTAATTTTTACTACAATATTATTTAAATAAAAAAGGAAAAAAGTGTTTTTTAATTTGAATTTATGTAATAATTAATTTTATTTAATAAAAATAATCAAATTGAAAGTGTCATGGTTGGATGGTTTTTTTCTCAAATTAAATAACTTAGGTATGTTCTTTTATTTTCTCAACTCATATTTAGGTACTTATCGTGTTTACAATATAAACTATATATTTTATCTTCAAAATTAAAAAAAAAAAAAAAAATAAACCTATCACTCCAAATCAACCAATTCCGAGAAAATGATTGGTGGTTATTTGATGATTTCGTATAAAGCAAAAAGTTGGCAAAAGATTTACCATTAATGTCTTCTGGTAATTATTTTATACAATCAACTAATTCACGAAATTTTGGTAGGCAACAATCGTATCACTGACTTCGTGATAAAAACTGACCACATTGCAGGGTACTTAAGTTTATGGATGTGAACAATGTCGGCGTAATTTATGTTTTTTCTTTATTTTCACGTAAATTAGAATGAATATTACTCGGGGAAACAGCAATTATCATAAAATGTATAATATATAGATATTAAATATATTGAAGTATAAAATATTATAAATCCTCATGTAAACGAGGCCTCAAAAACCCGGACCCTTATACTCTAGGCCAGAATGTCTCCCCCCCCTCCCCCCTTATGGGTGTCCTGGCTACATAACAAATTATTTATAGACATAATAGTATTTTAATACAAATTAATTCTACTAGAAGTTTAATTATTATTCAATTTAAGTATAATAATTACTTATTACAATGTCATGAATCAACTCAAAACTGCTTTCATTGTTAATTGTATTTTAATTCAAACATTTAAAACCAACATCTATATTGAATATTTTGTATGATTTGCATTTCAATATTCTTTTCAATCAAATCTTTAATGTATAGCTATTTGAATCTATTGAATATTATTTACAATGGCCTAATGAAAATAAAACATTAAGCAATATTTATTTTTTTGTTTTTAAATTATTATAGTTAAAATCGTAAATGTTATAAATTCAAAACATATTTTTTTTTATTTTTCACAATAATTACCAAGCAGTTTTTAACATTGAATTTAAAAATTCGGTTACCTTCAGTTCTCTATCATAATTATTCATGTACCATACGTAAAGTAAATTATTTTTACAAGAAAAATTGTATGGTGATTTACATTTTTATGGGCTAAGTACTAATGGTTTATTATTGTATTATAATTGCTAAACATAATATTGCACCATTATAAAACAACTATTTAAAAATAGGTACAATGGCACATTCATTTTTGCAAAATCGAGAACTATAATTTATAAAAATATTGTTATGTCACGGTATGTAAAAACGTAATATAATTGTTTTTGTCTCAATAAAATTGTTTAAACTTTGTATAATTTTATGAGCCAGTATCCTAAAACTTATCTAACCTACAGGATTTGTTTTATGGTACATTGCATACACCGATTAAGCAAATATATTGTTAAATATATTATATAATATTAGTATGAAGATATTGAAAAAAGAATAATGGATAACTTTTTATGGCAATTTTAAAATAAAATAAAATAATACAAAAATAAATATTTATTCTATATAAGTCGATAGATATGAAATTTTAAAAAACTTAATCATATGCACTTCAAAGTTTGTGAAATTTAATTCATCTAATACATTTATTAAACAATAAAATAATTAGATCAAAAGCTAATAAATGTACCAATTACTTATCTTCAATATTAAGTAGCTTAAAAGAACAATTGATTTAGTTTTTTTTTATGGAATTAACAAAATTTAATGTTAAATCTTAGATGGCACGTGACAAAATATTATTAAATATTGACAAAAAATTGTTTTATTTTGCTTATCAAAATTTATAATAATCTTTAACAGTTTAACAAATATTAAGCATCTAGGTACCAATATTGAATAGGATCAATACAATTTTTTCAATATAATTATTATTGTAAATTAGCGTCTATGTACTATATTATACAATCAAAATAAATTATATTTATATTAAATTAATGTCTACATTTACAAACAATGTATAAATAAAACACTTAAATATTACTTAAATTATAATTCAGTAGCAACAATAATTTATTCATGTAGGCTGCAATTGTTTAAGTTTAATTCCTATACTTATAATTACGATATACACGTCATAATACATTTTCATGTGCTCTACGCTTTCTAGTTTCTAAAGCTCTAAACAATCGATAGAAGTTATTATTTAACGAGTCTGATAAACAAATATACTTGTTTATCGAGATTTGAGATTACTTAAAATATAGAATAAAAAAAATACATTTTGAGTAAATCCAACCGATTTACAAATTATATAAATGTTATACAAAACAATATTCGTTAGAATTCCGAATAATATATTCAAAATACTTAAAATATCTATAAAGTGTTAATTATTAATGTTTACCTAATGCCTATCTGATATGTATTTTAAATAAAATTACAATTTAATTTTTAGGTACCAACAGAGTTGTATTCGGTTGGATCATATTCTATGTTTGTGTTGATCATAATCATATTTTTGGTCACGGATTATGTCAAATATAAACCTGTACTAATTGTCGATGGAATTGGTGGAGTATTTCATTATACTGCCATAGCAAATAGTCCTTCAAAACTCAGAATACAGGTAATTAATTAATTAATATTGTTATGTTGTATTAAATTGTAATATGACTGAAATGTAATTAAACGCAATATCATTTTATAGTCATAAATTATGCCTATCATTAAGCCTCTATAAATGTTTGATCAACTATTCACATATTTTATGTAAAGGATTACCCACGTTAAATATGGAATATAGACATATTAAAATAAAATTCAGATAATGAAAATTTGAAAATATGTGTACTTAGGATTACGCAATAATCAAGAATTAAAAAAAAAATTCGATGTCATTTTTCGAGCTATGTTTTCTAGCCAACTTATATAAAATAATAACTAATAATAGCTATTTATAAGTTAGTATACAATATTTCAAAAAAACTTTCCACAATATTTTAATTATTAATAACAATTAATTGGAAACGTTTTAATTAACGAAAATTTTTCTGTTAATTCGCGTAAATTTAATAAATTACCTAGTAAATTTTTTATGATATTAATTAGGTATGTTTAACCTTTTCAAAACATTTATTAAATGTGCTTATTGTTTATATTTTATATACATATGAGTGGGCCCTTTTCCAATTGTATTATGTATCTTTAAAATTGTTTAAAATAAATTTTAAACGAATGTGTAAATTCAGTATGTTTATAATTCTATTTAAACTCTATAGTAGATACGCAGTGGCGTACCAGTTGGGAATAATGAGCTTTCATCTTCTCTCCACACCATGATTATGTTAAAATATAAAAAATACAAACTAGTTAGAATTAAAATCTTAAAAAGTAAATTTCTTAAACTTTTTATGGCACGATCTATTTTGGAAATTATTTAAATGTTGGCGACCCATCTGATGACTTTTTTTTTTTTTGCTTTTTCGATTTTAATAACCATATTATGTCTAAAAAAAATGTATTATTTAAAAATATAACGCGACCCATAGTTTGGGAACCTTTGAACTATACTAATACAAGGATGGGTAATTCAAAATTACTAGAGAACCAACTTTTAGAACTACAAAATCTTGTGGGCTATAGAAAATCGGAAAAAAAGCTCGATAAAAATAAAAATCAATGGGCAAGATAAAAAAGTACGCGAGCTGCCAGTTGCTCATTCGACATTCCTATTGTATACACTATATTATTATACACTGATTCTTTTATTTAAGAACACTTGTTATTTTAAAAATTCACATTCTTCATAACATTACAAAAAAATATTCACAAAAAAAATTATAATTTTTACAACTAAATCATTCTTTTATATTTTCTCTTTGTTTAACGATAATATACATTTTTAGTAGTTACTATTATAATAATCGAAAATACACGAAATTTTACAATAAATAACTTATTTGAAAAATAATTGACGAGTAGTTAGGTATACTAAATTCTTAATATTTTGGATTTCATTATACAAGTGATAAACTATAGATACCAAGACTAAATAATTGATATCCAATATTGTCTTTTACTTCTAAAGTCAATATTTTTATATGTATTACAATATAAATAATCATTAAATTAATTTTTTATATTTTAATTGTAATTTCGCTGATTCTTAAACAACAAATCTAAAGAGTATGTAAGAATATTTAAATTGCATATACTTACTTTACATTTTATACATAAAAAAGTGAATAAATTTGCATTTAAAACTGTACAACAACAACGATATAGTTTAATCTTTATTTTTACAGTTTGGACAGGCGTTCTATGGGTTCTTTTTTTCCGCTGAAGTGGCTTTATTTGGATACTTATACGCGATGGTAGAAGAAAAAGAATTTTATCAAAAAATAACTGGTCACGCAAGAGCTGCAACATTGACAGGAAAATTTTTTTCATCATGTTTGTCACAAATTTTAGCCATCACTTATGGAACTCCTCCGTACAACGCGCTCGTGTATATGTCTATTTTCGGTAAATATAGAACAATTTTTTGTACGCATGTTACATCGATAGATTCATTCAAATTATAGCCAAAGTTTTGAATGTACCGAAATGAATATCTCAATGATATAATATTGTTAAACTTTACAATAATATTATTATAAAAGTATGATGAACAAAAAAATTCAAATGAATGCGTAAACTAACATATAAACTACAATAGTTATATGTAGGTATTAACCTGTCTAGTCCATCTTGATACTCGAAACCTGTTAAGATTAAAAAAAGAAGAAGAAATCAGTGAATCGAAAAATATATTATATTGAAATGACTAATTCCACTTTTTACCTTGGTCCGTGGGATTATGATACTTTTTCAACGTAATATAAATTTAATTTTCGAATCACTGTTTTTTTTTTTTTTTTTAATCGTACGGCCGGTTTTGGAATGTTAAGATAAACTGAATGAGTTATACCTTATAGTAACTGTGCGTTCAAAGAAAGTTAAAATTATAAAATAACATTTTAAATGTATTTGACCTATTTTGGTGTTTAGATAGAGTATATCACAGTTCGGCAAAAATATGAAATAAAAACTTAATATTTTTTCCGTTTCAATAATAAATATCAAATTGGACATATATTTTTAGAGGTCGCTGTTTTAATGTAACAAATATAGAGAGCAAAAATTTTTAATATGAAAAACAAAAAGTACTGTTTGTATTGCTAAATCAGCTAACAAAATACAATTTATTTATGTTTGATTGCTATTGTAGCTGCAATGTAAAATGAGCTACATGAAATTATTAAGAAAATAATCAATATAATCAAATACAATTAATCGATATAAATAATAATAATATTATATAAATTACTTGTTATAATTTTAGTTGTTGTTTGGTTGCCATAACAACTGTAACGGTAAATGTTGTCCACAGTCCAAACATTTATGATTTATATTAAAAAATGATCATAGATTCAAGTATTTAAAATTTATTAGTATTAAAGGATGAAGATTTTCAATAGAAACTGCTTAAAATAGTATTTACATTTTTAATTAAAGTATTAGCCGTCTAGCCAATAGGGTTCTATTGTTTAACTGTTTAAAATGGAATAAGTATTCATAAACAAGTTTGATTGTTTATTTATAACAATAAATAGCTTTAATAGGATATAAATAAAGGGTATAACGAGTAAGGTATATAAGTCTAATCACAAAAATAATTTGCATGTCAAATTGCATGTAAAATAATTGTAAGCATAAAACTTGAACAAATAATAAAACTAAATTTCGTTAGTAGTTGTATTTATGTAAATTATAAAAAGTTAAAAAGATTTAAGCACTCTGACCTACAGTAAGTAAAAATTATTATTATATACTTACTGTTAATTATTGAAGGAAAAGATTTTTTTTTTTTTTAATTATTTAGTTTATTCATACTATTTTTTCTTTATTTATAACAATACAACAGTACCTATTTAAGAGAAAAATGACATTACAACAAATTAGAATACATGAATATATAATATTAGTTATTACTTTTTCTATGTTAGAATAATAAATAATAAACATTCTTATGTAGATGTAGAATGTGGTTCAAATTAGTTGATTTGCACACAATTTTACTAAAAAAAGATATTGTCACATTAATTCTTTTTATAAATATAAATACCATTATTTAGTAAGTTATGGTCAATCTATCAAACTTATACGTCCTATATATATATGTGTGTGTGTGTGTAGTAAAATACAATAATTGTTTATGTTAAAGATTTCTGGAAAGTTTAATTTACGAAATGTACATTACTATTACTATATTATGATAAATCTAATATGGAAGTTTGGCAAATACGTAGAATAGGTATTTAATTAAATGATTTAAAAGCTCTATATATTTAGTAAACACGTTTATGATTTACCTTATACTAAAAGGTATAGGTATATCTTTATTGCACAGACTATATAAGTCTATACTTAAATTCCAAATAATAATACGAGTATCTATTTATTAATTGGAATTTATTTATGCATTACACTTGATGACACATTTTGAACCGATAACATGTACCTACTTACTCACGTGCATCATATTTTATTTGTATACATCAATAATAAAAACAGCTGTAACAATAAACAATTTTTATAACATGAATGATTATTTTAGCTTAATTTTAAAACCATTAATATTGAATTGATTCGTTAATAATAAACATAATTTTAATTAGTAGTACTAACTATATTATTATATTATTATTTATTAATTTTTTGTCAATATTTGGTCGTAACACTCTTAAGTAACCATAATTGTCTCGGTAATTATTCAATTGTTATAAGTAACCTATAGATATAATTATACACATGTATTACTTGTATAGGTATGTACGACAATTATACCTTTTTACAAAATGTATAAGTTTAAATTCGATTAATCTATTTAAGATAAAAAAATAAAGTGCAAGTTTAGCTAAGAAATTAAGATTAATAAATACTATACAAATTATTCACTATTATTGAACACCATAATAATATATTAATATCGTGTATTTGTGTACTATGTGTTTAGTTTTAAAATGTATTAATTAATTTCTTTCTGACACTTGGAGAATTATTTTTTAATCGATGAATAGACACAATAGTCACCCAATTATTATTAACAAAATAATAACCGTTCAACATTTAAATAATCAAAATAGTAGAAACAATACTTTTATAATTCGGGATTTCTATATAAACATTTTAAAAAAAAGAAAAATTATATACTCTACTTTGAATAATTGTAAAATTAAAAACAAAATGTTTACTTTAAAAATCAATAATTGATTATGGTTTCACGCTTACTTAACTTAAAGACAATATAAAAGTTAAAATTGTGTATACAAATCATATGTTTTACAACTTTTAAAAATTATTATAAGTACCTATTGTTCATTGACCATTTGTGTACTGTTATATGGAACATTCTGTACATAATTATGTACATACTGCAACAATGACAACGGCCAATATTTATTACGTAAAGCATTGTTTACTTATTAAAAACAAAAAAACAAACTATCTGTATAGTTATAAACTTATATGTTCTGTATGATATATTGTAGACAACTGAACGTTTGATAATGAAGAAAAAAAATATTTTATATCACGTATTATACACATTAGTAATATTACATGTTATACAAGCCTACATAAAAGATAAAGATAAAGGATTAATAATAATTCATGTTTGCCGAATAATATTGATAATCATTATAATGTTATAAACAATAAACATATAATAGTCAAATCTGTCTGATAACGGAGTATATACCTACTACGATATAATAATTTAAAACAGCGGTGGTTCTTAACCTTTTATAGATCGCGGATCCCTGACCAAAGGTTTTTAAAAATCGAGGACCCCTTTGCCAATTTTTTTCGAATACTTTATTTTTTTACAAAACATCTCATGTTATCATAACCAAATTTAAAGTAATTATTTTGTTTTGAAAATTACACAAGTAGACATCACAAAACATATACATTTATATTTTATAATTATTTTTGTTACACTTGATTTTTCATAAAAAAAATAACATAAATAAGATCTCTTTATATAATAAGATATATTATACATGAAAAAAAAAATAAAAATTCAACAATAGGTATTGTAATAATGTCAAATATTAATGTACGTATGTTATGTTTTAAAGTTGTCATGGATCCCCGATATGCGATCACGGACCCCTAGACGGTCACGGGCCATTGGTTAAGAATCGCTGATTTAAGACATATTTTCTTATTCGAATAAAATTTGTCAGTCAAACTAAATTTAATTTTATTCATATTTTTTCATTAAAAATAAATTCAAATTTTCAAATTTTTTAAACTCAAAGAAATATTTGTGTTAAATTTATTTGCTAAAAACCTGTATAGTTCCGTTTAAAGTTATTAATTGTTGATGCTTTAACGCATATACTTCTTCACAAATTGCTCAATTATAATTAAAAATTGTACATCTTGATATCTATACAAATTAACTAAATTATAAGAAAATTAAATTAAAATTGTCGATAGTAATTTTTCAAACAGATCATGGCTAAATTTAATTAATATACAGGCTACATTGGTGAAAATTGTTGGAGGGGAGGAGCTTAACCAAGGTCTTATATTGTAAGGCCTTCTTAATCCCTAAAAATAATTTAAATATTTTAGGTTTATGAATCTTCTTCATAAAAAGAATACAATAATAGTAGACAAATTTAATATAAAATATATTTAAATAAATAATTAACTAAGAAACAATTTATTCACGAACAAATCGTGTGAAAAAAAACGACCTAAGACCACTCGCTAGAACATAATATACAAATAAATTAAAATATACAGGAAATACTGTTTGGACTTTTTAGCTACCTACCCAATTTATTAATTTGTTATATACATTAATATAAAAAAATTAGTTATTTAAATTGAATAATTCATAAAATCTATGTGCCAAACAATTTCTAAATTTTTATGATTTTGACTAACTATTTATTAAATAAAAAACTTAAAAATTAAGTAATATTATCTATTGACCTAATGTTATAAAATTGTAATAACGTTTGTTCAAGCAAAGCGAGAGAACATTTTTATCATGGTTAGATAATGTGTAATATATTTTAATACTTAAATTATTATTGTATACGCACTTACAGTTAATTTCCATAGTATAAAATAATATATTAATATGTACCTATTGTACCTTATTTCTACCGTGTTTACTAAAATTTCTTCTTATATTTATAGGAATGTCATTTACAACCGTATGGGCAATTTTCTTACCAAAAGTCAAGTATAGTCTTTACTTCCCCAATAAGAAAAAAGTCGATGAAACGTCGATGGGACAATCCACCGTCACTGTCTACAACCCACAAAAATATAAAGATTCACAGCTGAGCATTGAAGCAGCTTCCAATGAGGAGGTATGTAACGCAAGAAATTACAGCGCTATACGACAATATTATAGTGTTATAATTTATAACATAATATGTTGTAGGTTATAATACGTATTTAAACATATTTTAGGCAGTGTTATAATATTACGTGTAATACCTAGTAAAAACTTATTAGTGAGTTATAAATGTTATAATATTTATATTTTTATACTAAACTATTCTCAAACAATAATATTTAAATACCTACTTATTTTTCTAACGCATCATTATCAAAATATATGGTTTTCAATAATTCTCAAAAAATAAAAACAATATAATTTAATACGTGGCGTATTACCTATTATAGGCGACGTACGACTATCGGTGAAGTATATTGTTTAATAGCACATATTATACTGTAATAATTGAATATTATTTGCGTAACTACTTCAACTGGATATTTAATCAAAACATGCCAAGGTCCCATAATAACAGTTGATTGCTGATAACTGATACGCTTATAAAATAACAACTATTTAAAATCTTCAACATCACTTTTACAATAATATATATTTTTCATAGTAGAACTACCAAAGTATATTGACTGTGTTATGAGTGGCGGACAAGGGGGTTCTAAAGAGACTGCAACCCTCCCCAAAATTTTAGGAAAATTTACAAAACATGTTTTCAGTGTTCTATGAACGTATTACACAAGATATAAATGTGTATTTAAACTTGTAATTTGCATGTTTGTTTGATGCAAAGACTATTATGTTAAATACCGCCAATTTAATGATAAAAACATATTATAACAAACTTAAGAGTGATCCTATAGATGAACCACCTCATATATAACTAATTATTAGGAACCCCTCTAGTCCCCTTCAAAAAAAAAGAAAAGTTAAGTGTTGACAATGCCGCTGACTGATATACTTGTATTTTTTCATATAATATTGTGCTTACATCCATAGAAAATCAAAAATTACGAAAACAACGAAGTTGAAGAGGAATACAGCGTGGTCAAAGAGCTGTACAAAGATTTCAAGCAATCGTATTCCGACCCGTACGTCTGTAAGCTCTGTTTTTGGTGGGCAGTGGCGATGGGTGGTTACTTACAAGTTAGTATAAATAATATATATAATATTATAGAACGAAAAACGTTGCATATTTCTATACTATAAAATAGTGTAGTATAGATGTGTGCGAATAATTTAAACGATTTAATTGTATATACACTGAAGCGCTGATGTTTAACGAATTGAGTCCATGTCACATCAGGGCTAAAAATTTACTTCCCCAACTTTTGAAAATTTATTAATTTACCCAGCGAGTCGAAATTATCTAGCCCTCAAACAAGAAATTTCTATGATAAATTGAATGAGGGTTATACCTATTTAATTTTTATTTGATTTTTTTGATTTTTCCTTTACTTTTATTGGATAAACATAATTTCATTACATTTTTAAGACTTCTGAAAACTTTCGACTTTCTAAAGTGGCCTTTAAAAATATTGATTGGTGATCTCTGAATTAAACGATATAAGATAATATAATCATGTCTTGTTTTGTATTTCATATAATGAATTTCGTATTTCCCACTAATATTTATTTCCCTCGCAACCACAAAATCTTTAATAGTTATTTTGAAGTAAATTATTTGCGATTTGAATACCACGATCAAACATGTCACTCGGTGACATGTACATACCATCTATTTCATCTATAATACGACACCAGCTGTATACACGCATAATGTACTATAATACACGTGTTATAATTTAATAGAATGTCCATAAATTACTGGTGTAGTAGTTCATAATAAATATTTATTATACAGGTGTATGCGTACATAAATGTGCTTTACACATACGTGTTGGAAGAAAACGAAGATACCGAGTTTACATTGTACAACGGCGCGGCGGAATCTCTAAACACTCTCATCGGTGTGTAAAGTAAAATATAATTATTATTAAGTCGGGAGAAATTATATTACATGATTTGATGCGACCGTCCATTGTGGAAACGTCGTTATTTTTTTTTTTTTATTACAAGAAATCTAAAGTAATTTTAAATTACTTTAATTATCTCGTGAGACAAATTGATCTGCATTAAATATTATTTTTTGTGCACTGAAAAAAAATAATAGACAAAAATATATTATATTTATATATTATATTAGAAAATATTTACATAATTTAAAATCGTCAAAAATTAATATATTTTTATCATAATCATTTTTTAAATTTTTAGTTATGTGCATTTTAATTGTTTATTTTAAAACAAAATAGTTTTTTGAAGTATTTCAAATTTTGATACATAAAAATCTAATCTTGAACAAATATTTTATAGGTTATAAGTATTTAAAGCTCAGTTAATGATCGGTGTGTTTTAGAGTGATACAAGGGTACATCGAAAAATTTTGGTCTGCTATTTCACTCATATAATATAAACCTTAAATACTTATAACTAATAAATTACTCGTTATAAATTATATTTGATAAATCGATATGCATATACGCCAAACAATATTCTATTTAGAAATATGAAATTAAAATTGTATGTCGTAATTTAAAAAAAAAAACGGTAAAAATTAGTAAAACATACAGTTTTTCGAAAAATGTTGTTTTATAACAACTTAAAATTATGTGAAAGAAATCTTTGCAAAAATATAATATTTTTTGAATACGTTAAATACATTTATAAATATATATATATTATATAGGGACTATAACTACATTGAGTCTATAAACATTATACGTATATAAAGTCTATACGATTGTGTCACAGTAGTCAAATATATCAGTTGACAAGCTTTTAATTTTCATAAATTAGTCTTTATTTGGAAGGTTCAACCCACTTATGAATCTGTAGTACATCTAAGTGAAATCGTCAGACATTAATTTATTTTCTACGTTCCAAGTGCATTCATGAGTATAACTATTGTGCATAAATATACACATACTCTACATCATAGGTGGCCAACTTGCTGCTCGCGAGCCACATGTGGCTTTCGTCATTGTCAGATACGGCTCACGTCTTGTTTACAAAATCGAAATTTACTTAATTCGATTATAAATTTCAATTTTTTAGGTATTAGCTTATAAAAAATTATCAAATCATATAAAATGTGTCTATAAACACTTTGACTCTTATTATCATTGTACTTATCTATGTGGCCCGCGAACCTATTCTTGTTGGCCACCTCTGCTCTACATACTCTAAGTAAAAATGCAACAACATTTTTTACGACAAGACTGTATGGGAAAAATGACGACCAATCCGTAGACACCATGAACCATCGCTGCCGAACGAAAACATTCGAGTTTTTCTAAATATAATATATTATAGTGTCACTCTTGTATTGCATAAAAAATTATTTTTATTGAACAGAATTTATTTTTCAGGTGCCCTCTCTGCGTTTACTATAAGCAAAGTAAAGTGGAATTGGTATTCCGTTGGCGACATATTCTTTGCCATTGGATCTATCATTGCCGCCATCGTGTTGTTATGTTGCGTTTACTGCCGAAACTTGTGGTACATCTACGCTTTCTACATAATTTACGGAATGATGTATCAGACTATGTTAACCATTGCCGAGTGAGTTTATTACGCGCGTATGGGTTTTAAATAGTGATATATAGCTGCCGCAGAAGGGACGGAGGCTGTTATCGCGGGGTACAAATATTTTTTATGGGGGTGAAAGTTTTTGGTTTTTAATGGCGGTGATCAATTATTATTTGGGCCGACAAATAATAATTAAAATTCAATCAATATGACCGTAAATGGTATTGTATAAACACCAAAGAGTATAGTTTTTACTATTTAATATGGTGAAAAAAATATTTTTCCTCTGCTGGGCGCTTTAATGTATAGCAGTATAGCTACACTACTGATTTGAAAATTGTTTTACAATACTATTTTACACATTATAGGACTTTAAGTCGTTTAAAGTATACCATAGGTATTCAGGCAGTATATAGGACATTAAATAGGTGATCAGACTGTATGAAAGACATTTGAGGATCTGAGATGGTTCACAAGTACCTGTACAATATTGTACATCAGAAACTATAGTTTTTTCTTATTTTTCAATAACAACTGTTTTAATTATTTTCATCCCATAGATTATACATATCATAATATGAGTGTATGACTTAAATTTTATATGTATAATGCATATTTTGTTAGTGGAGTATTCATAATATAATATATGTATAGTATTATTATTCTACTATCTATATGTCTTATGTGTATATTATTAATTAAGTTCTTATACTGTTTTTCGATATTCGACAACCATTAAACATATTTACCAGCACACTGTGGTTATTATCAGTTTCATAAAAATGTATACCTATACGGCTATACGCCGTGTATAACCCTTTCAAACAGATGGATATGAATAATTATAAACTATACTCGAGCCATACCTACTATACCTGTACATATATAATTATTAACTTAAAATTAAATCTTTCAAATCTATGCCAAAAAATTATATCTCCATTCGCATTAAATAGTTACCTACCTATCTAAAAGTGTATTAAAATAGATTATTATTATTATTTAATATTTTGTTCACCTAATTTCTTTTACACAGGACAATGAAACTATATACAACTCAAATTAAAAAGGATAATTTTAAGTTAATAAAATACTAATGCTTGATCGTTTTAATTTTCAGATCCGAAGTTGCTAAGCGATTAAATAAAAAATGTTACGGATTGATTTTTGGATTTAATACTTTCATTGCTGTATGCATCAATACCATTATTATATACGGAGTTATTCAAGGACATTTTATTAAGATTAACATAGCACAACAAGTAATACACAAATAAATACGCAATAAAATGCGCTTTTTTTTTTAGTTATATTTTTTACTATATATTATATGTATTTATTGTTGACAATTCTTAATCGCATAATCTTAGATTAAATTATATAAAACTCTATTAAATAGATAGAATTAAAGATGCGATACTAAATTAAACCAATTTTATTTTTCAGTTTTTGATATACACCGTGCTGTACGTAGTACTTGCGATATTCTTTTTCGGTTCATCCATTTTGAGAATGTTCAGAGACGAAGGAATTGTAGAGTACAACTGAGCCCAAACGAATCCTATTAATGAACTATAGATATTTTCCTTGGAACAAAAGTAATTTTGTGAACAAATAGACTTAATATGAATTTGTATACCATTATAACTTAAGGCAACTAAGAAATGTTAAGTAAACTACTACTTATTTAAGTAAACTCGCTGTATAATTATTATGTATATGTTATTTATGGACAATTATCAATTATTTATTTAAATTATACAAAGCGATTCGCCAAATCTGCTCAATACTCTCCCCTTTATTTTTCTTTAATAGGTAATGAATTTATTCAAGTATTGATTTTTGGAAATTATTTTTTTATAAATAAATATTCTATTTTAATTATTAGATTCTTTTTATGCAATTGAAGAGTGTTCAATGTTGGTACAAACATTATTCAAAAGTGATCCTCCCTTTGTATTATTAAGGAGATGTTTTTTTTTTTTTAATGTTACCTAATGTAAATAAATTAAAATGTTACCGAGTAATTTATTAGTTTATGAGTTAATAATCTTTAAGTACTCATAAAAAAAAATAATTTATAATAATTGATAACCAATTGTTAAAATATGGGAGCTAAAATAATTTAAAAGTTATAATAATCAATATTAATTTATTACAATTTTATAATAATTGTTCGAATTTTGATTTAAACATTTCAAAATTTTAAAAGTTTGTTTCACTACACGATATTCCTTAAAGATTGTATGTAATTTAAACAGTTATTTGCAAATATTATTTGTGATTAAATAACTTAAAAATTCCAAAAATTAAAAATTGAATAAATACATTATTTAAGAATAATACGAGTAATAGAAAATATACTTGATGAATCATTGTGTATAGTAACTACAATTATTATATATACCTATGTATATTTGTTAAAACAAAATGTTATTATTCTTTATAATAAAGAAATAAAAACATAAAGTACGATATATTTTATTTATTTTAGTGACCTAGACTTCAACTATATATTATATTACGGAACAATAAATCTACTGTGTTAGTCAATCATTAATTTTTATTATTTTTAATTCATATTGTTTTTAATATTAGTTTATTTTATTTATTAAATTTCATTTTAGCATTGGAACTATGGTTTTTAAAGTTTGACTGGTTTTTTTTTTTTTTATTTACATATTTAATTCATTACATCTTAACATTATATACAGTGAAACCTCTCTTAACGGACACCTCTAATTAGCAGACACCTCTCAATAACGGACAAAATTTCCGGTCCCGGCATAGTCCCGTTACATATATATTATTCTATCAATTTTTCCCAATAGCGGACAATTTGGTCGGACCCTTGAGTGTCCGCTATTCAGAGGTTTTACTGTAATTCACACACACAAAAAAAAAAAACGTTATCGACAAGTTAAAAATTAAATAAACAAATATAAGTATACGCCGCATCAGGCCAAAGATTATATAAGATCTATGTGAAAATTCAAAAACATTTTGACATGTTTTGGTATGAAAGTTTTTTTATATTTCAACATCCATAACAATCGAAAAATCAGAAGCTTAGCATAGTGCAGTATAGATATATAAGATATATTGTACTTAACGTATAATAATAATTATGAAACTTAATCATTCGTCATCATCAGTTATACACTTATACACGTAATACGTGTAACAATTCTAAAATGAGTTTTATCAGAGCTTTTTTTGCCATATAATTGTTTAATTTATATAACATACATCAAGATTAAACTAAGTCAAGGAAAAGTACTTCAATAGTTGAGAAAAAGCTAAAATATCGAGAAACTTGGTCTAAATCCGAAGCGACGTTTATTGTTATTGATTTTTTTTAGTGATACACTGATACTCCATCACAATTCAGGCACAACATAATACAATATATAATTTATTACTTATAATAAATTACTGCGTCTAGTATTTTTCACACTATTCAATTAAACTAACGAGATGAAGCAAAAGAAATGGTTGCAGTAAAATCACAATAAAAACGCTAAAAAAATGCTAAAAAAAACGCAATTTTATACGATGATTAGCCGACGAGTAGATAAATAAAAGTAATGATATCGTAGAAGGGTAACATAATATAATATTAAAATATTGATGATTAATGATTTTGATTTAGTTTTATTACAGAAGCATAGATATAAAAAATGGTTAAAAATTAAATAATTTAACTATGACTTGATATACATATAGTTGTTCTGTACACGATGTCTGCAGCGTGCTCTTATACACAGCATGCATTAGTCGTTCGCTCCAATAAATAAAGTAGTCATCAATTATAGCACAGTTAAATAATTATTTTTTAAACCTAAACTCCTCTAAAAAATAATAATCAATAAATATTATTTTAAAACTACGTTGTATTTATTAACCCATAAAATAAGCCACCACACTTTTTTAAGTCATGATCAGATAATTTTTACAACCAAAATTAGGTTAATTTTTGTGTAGGATTAATTTTCCGGTCAATTGACTAACTTATTAGATTTCGAGCGGACCAATGAATGATTTAAATGATTAATGTATTGATTTTAAAATGATGTGTAGTTGAAAAAAAATATTCGATCTTTATCTTTACCGCGGTTGGTTTTTATTAGTTAATTGGATGTAATTTATACTTTTGAAAGGTTGGAATCCCAAAAAATTCCCAATACTTTTTAAAATAATCTAAAAAAACAAACAAAACATTAAGGAAAAACAGAAATTTTTGTGCTAAACCGATTTTTTTTTTTTTTTTTTAATTTAAAAACGAATAATCGCAAGTCATAAATAATAAGATATAAACGCGCAATTTTTCCTAAATCTTGTATGTCATAATACTTTTGTGTATATTATATCATGTTTAAGTTTAGAATTTAAAAAAATGTTTATTTTATAATTAAAAATTCCTAAAATGTTAATATTCATACCTAAGTTTTGAAAATGTAAAAAAAGTTCCACTTAAGTTTTTAGTACTAAAAACTAAAAATTTCAAAAAATAAAAAAAACACACACATTATATAATCAATACATTTATTACTCCGCTCAGAATCTAAAATACATTAAGATGTTGAGTCATTAATTTTATAGATCGGTGACGCCTCAAATTGATGATTTTTGCAGACAACGACGGATTTGTGTACAAAATAATAATAATTATTTTATTTTAAACGAAACGTGTTAAATGTTCTTGTTACAGCCACAATAATCAACGGTCCAAGTGTCAACTGTCGACGGTAGTCAACGCGCTATTTTCAAGGCAAAATATATTAATGTTTCTTCAAAAATAAATAAAAACACCAACGAAATATTACTGACCCCTAGTGCCCACATACGACATACCAACGTGGTCTACGTCGGTGTAAAGTTGAAACTTCTTTTACATTTATTTTGTGCACATTTTAAAACACAAAATTAGTTGAATATTGTTTCCGTTAAAAATGTATAAGTGTGTTTGATAAAATTAAAAATTATCAATTACATCGTTTATGCAAAAATTCATTTGGATTGATAGCCAGCGGAATCTATGTGTAAAAAGTTCGGCGGAATCAATAAAAATTTGGCGGAGTTAACATGCGACGCAATCGATAGATTTCTTACAAGTAAAAATGTCATTTCGGCGCAATCGATAAACACCCTTTCAAAATTCACTGCCCAAATCCAAATACGTCACTGTGGCTAGTGAATACAGTGTAGCAGCAACAGGTCAGTTAATAATTGATTTGTGTCATTCTATTGTTTATGTTTAAGTAATTTATGGAATTTTCAAAATAAAATTATTTTGAATATTTCATTCCTACCACATTTTGTTATATTCGTATAATACAAAAGTTGATTATTTAACTATAGTTAAACATATTATAAGTACTATAGGTACACAGTATTATAAACTTCAACACACGTATAATAAGATATGAAATATAAATATTATAATATGCTTATATAAGATTGTAGGTACTATACATATAAGTAAATCACAATTGATATTATGGGACAATTATATTATATTACTTTATCTTCGACATTGAGCAAGGTTTCTTTTAACGCAAAATCAGTTTACGACAAAATCTATTTATTTTTTTTTTTATGTGTGTATTTAAAAAATGAATAACCATAGTTACTTGAAATTTTATCAAATGTTTTTGTAGTCGTCTAAAGTTGAAATTTCAAATTTAATTTTTAACTAAAAATTTCCTAAAATGTTTAATATTCATAACTAAAACTTGAAAATTTAATTCAAGTGCGGTACCTTAAAAGTTGTTATTACTAAATTAAAAAAAAAACTTTGAGCGTAATTTCAAAAATATTTTTTATGAAATTTAAATTTGAACAAAATTTCTATAAATATTGATATTACATTTTTGATCGGTCGAAAATTTTAAAAATGTAATATTATATTATTTATAATTCATAAATATTTCATATTAGAACCAAAAACCCAAAAAATCTAAATAGAATATATGAACTATTGGTTATTTAATCGATATTTTAAGTTAATTAATGGATTCAATTCGAAATTGAAACGCTGAATAACGGTTTTAGTTATTTGTATAATTGTATGTTGTAATTTGAAAATATTTTTGGTTGAGATTTAAAACTTTTACGTAAATAATCTTATATACACAGTAACATTTTCAAAACATTTAAATTAATTTTATGTTTTTGCCTTCTTATGTTTTTTACCATATTATTATTATTATTATTATTATTATTATTATTAGAGCAAAATAAATTACTAAAATAGTTAATATCAATGTATTTAAGTGTATATGATAACAAGTCGATGGGCCGTCTCTTCTCAGAATAGTTTTTCGTATCTCGTATGCAATAAATTATCAATGGATTCAAACTTAACACATCCATTACAGTGATCTACTCGATGAAGAGATACTTCCAATATACAGAAGAACGGTTATTGCTATTTTTTCACTTAATTTTTGATTGATTGGTACAAAATTGTTCTATTGTTTTAAAAATCAATCCATCATAATTTTAATTCGATATCATCAATTATTATATTAATACTCTAGACTCTAAAGTCTCGATTTTTATTAATTCATTGTTATTTTTGTTGTAGACGTATTAATCGTTTTGTTATAAAAAACAAAAAAATCAATAGGTACTTTTAAGTTTTAATCTTAACAATATTCTAAGAAGTATTTAAAGACAGGATACAATTTACAATAATCATAATGTTAACTCAACACTGCAATCTGTTGTTGAATAGAATAGTCGTTAGACGAATAATTAATATTGTAATATACGGATTTAATAGCTTCGAGGAACAGTACCTAATCGCTTTTAGGTTTTTTTTTTCTTTTAATTTAAAAATAAATGTATTAACAACTAAGTTTTAAGTTGTGGACTTATAAAATATAACGAAAAAAACGGTCAACAAGTTTGAGAAGATTTATAGCTAAAACGATTTTAAATTGATGTGCAAATACTTTGTTGTGCCATGCTCCAAGTAGGTATGTTTTTGATCGTTATTGGATCTACAGATTGAGATCACCATTTACCAGCGCAGCTTGCTATTATATTTTTGCTACTAGCGAAACTTGTAGTTCATCTATATCCGGGTTCTGCGTAATTTGCGGTTTGATTATACTAGACAGTATACACTATACCTATGTTGATCATTGTCAATTGAATTTTTTTTTCACGCGTAAAATTTTATAATTTTTAACATATACTCTAGCAGTCTAGCTATTTTATCGGCGTCACCGGAGGATAAATAAAACCACGATAGACAATCCACCTGCGGCGGATTGTAATAAGTAATTTTATTTCTTGCGCTATGTTACCATCAACTATTACAATCATAAATAAATAAATATATAGTTAGTCGTATATTACATATTTTAAGATTATTAATAGCGGATAAGCCACTCCCGAAAAACGGGTTCATTGTATTATTGTCCTAAGCTTCCTCGAATCGTTAAAGTCAGTCGAGTATTATTTAGTTGGTTCTATATAAGTCTTAGTGGCTCAGAGATAAACTTTTCCTTTTAAACAATAATTATAATAGCTGTTACCCGTGGCTTTAATATCGACATACATTTACAATCCTTCTGTGTACACGGTTGGCTGTCCGTTGGTCAACAACTGCAGATTTTTTAATATTTAGTATAGTATATGTCTCAATTATATATAATCCTACTAATAATATCTGTATTAATAAACTATCTGTAATAATCTACCTATAGATTCCGTTTTGCTTCAGTTGAAGTATTCTCAGTTGATTTTCAAAATAAGCAGAAAACTTTTTAAGTAAACGAGCCTTAACCATACATTTTGCTTCTTGTACATATAGTAGCTGTTATTCAATTTTTCGTTAATATAAATTAGTTTATTAGCCTAAATGACAAAATATAAAATTACATCCGGTTATAATACCAGTTTTATTATCTGTAACCAATGACAACCTTATAAAATATAATTGAAAAAATATTCGATTTTCGTGAGCGGTAATAAAATTCATATATTGTGTGACATTCTGTAACACGTTGAAAAATGAAGCTACAAATTCCCACCGAATCAATTGATATACCTAATTTTTATAAAAAATTGTCAAGTATACTAGTTTTTGAGTCGATAAGGACAAAGAAAGAAAGATACCGTTTCAATTACCTACCATAGCAACCAAAATATATTTAAAAAAGAAATTAATGCCATATTGTTTTAATTTCGTGTTACAGTACAATAGTACCTACTACCTAGGTTGCCCTTAGCAACCAATATTTAACATAATTACGTTACCACAGAAACCTCATTGTTCATTTTTTTTTCTTTTTAACATAATCTTAAAAACATACATACATAATATAGGCTATAATATGATTCAACATATTTCCGTGAAACGAAGAAAATACCGAGTACCTATAGCACACACCTTTTTTTTTTTTTTTTTTTAGTATATTTCATATAGAGTAAGTCAGAAAAATAATAAGTCACTTGAAATTATAAAGCTCACCTATCATAAATTAAGATACTAAATAACCAATAAAACAACTTATTATAATTGTTAGATAATTCAGAAAAAAATATTATTTAAATACTACTTGTGGGTGCCTACCAAATTTATTAAATTACTATAATGGGTATTCCTTGAAATATTATGTTTCAACTTTTAAATATTACCTACTAAAGTAGGTGATGATAGACTAGTAGGTAGACTACGATACCATACTGAATGAATAGATGAAACAAAACATAATGCATAATTATTAAAATGTTATATATATATCATAATGAGTAATGGTTTTTTCTGTTAATATTTTTTGATGCATGAAAAAATAACCAACAATTGCTAAAACAATTTATACTGCACTACTGCAGCAGTTATCCGGGAATAACTATTATTCATCAAATTAAACTCAGAACACTTAATTGTTATTTGTTCATTAATTGAATTTCTTAATCTCCGCTGAGCTCTTACAGCTAATCATTTCAAGATAACCGACCATAGCCATTCTCAATATGATATAAAATACGACCGAAAAATTACTGCTGTATCATAATATAATCATTGAAAACCAATCATATTTTTTTAGAAAAACATTGATCGCAAATACATATGTTTCATTCTAGCATCCCGATAGAACAATCATGAAGAAATGGAAAAAGATCTCTCTGTTCGTGTGCGTGTTCGCATTCGTCAGAGAACTTAGGCCTATCGAACCGTTTTATGCGGCTTACATGACAAGTCCAATTGTAAACATCACATTAACTCAGGTAAAATATATACAGTAACATAATAAGTACGCATATTATATAGGGTGTAAAATAATAGAGTTTGTCGAGTATTTTCAGTGCTCACCTCTATTTTACCTTTAATAACGAATTTGATGAAATTTTTAAGTATACATAAAGATCATATTTTCAAATTCTTTAGATTTTTGTATTACTTTAGGAGTAAACCGTATCTTCTTGCTGTGGCAATACAAATTTTTGTTTTTCAAATTAAAATCTCCCTTTTTTACTATAAATTATTTAAGGGATAATTTTTATGAAAGTTTTTTAAAAATATAAAAGAGTTATAGTATTCTATCTGGGGTTTAATATACATACTCATTATTTGACTGTTTTTACAAATTATAAATGTTGGTAGATTGGTATTAATTAATACATTTTTCGAATCACTATAGCCATCACGCCTTTAAACCCATTATCATTTACCTATTATCCTTGTTAGTATACACAATAAATTAAATAACTCAACAACTATACTAGTTCAAATTTTGATTTTTATTCGTCAACATTTTCAGAAAATGATCTGTTCAATAATTTACAGTAGAAAAGGAATGTTTTTATCTGATAAACAGAAGTTTATATCTTCGCGGGACATTCCTTAAGAAATACAAAAAAAAAATCTAAATTTAAATAAATAGTCTTTATAATTATATTTTAAAATATCAAAAAATATTGAAGAAAAAAGAGGTTGAACATACTTTTCGAATTATTTTGTATAATATATGATATGCACACCGAATTTTTGTGGTTTATACAGACGTCTAGGGATGTTTATGCGATCGGAGCGTACTCGTGTTTTGGTCTCATCATCATTGTGTTCCTGATCACCGACTATCTAAAATATAAACCAGTATTAATAATGGATGGTATATGTGGTATAATTGCCTACTGCAGCATTATTGGACATCCGAGTTTGTTGAGAATGCAGGTAAGGTATATATACGTAAAGCACTGTCGTTATGACACTGCTAAATGATTACATTATTATGATCTTTTATTGTATTTTATACAGAGATTCGAGGTTTATAAAATTGTTCTTAAAAAAAAAAAAAAAAAAACTCTAAAATAATAAGCAACGATAAAAATATTTTACAGATTGGCCAAGTGTTCTACGGCTTCTTCTTTTCATCCGAAGTGGCTTATTTTGGTTATTTATACGCCATGACCGATGATAAACGTTACTACCAAAGGATCACGGGGCAAGCTAGAGCGGCGTGTCTATCGGGCAAGTTTTTATCGTCTTTATTTGCCCAACTTGTCAGTTTCGTCAACGGTTCAGTTCCTTACGTTGAATTGGTTTACTTGAGTGTATTCGGTAAATATCTTACTCGTTATCATAAATATTATAGTCTTTTGTATATTAAAATAATTTAATTTTTAAGGAATGTTTTTCTCTACTGTTTGGGCCTTTTTAATGCCTAACGTTACTAATAGTGTGTATTTTCACAACGAAAGATCTGAATCAATCGATCAGCCTACTCCGGCAGTTTCAAATTCCACGTCTTTCACTGGTGAATCAAAAATCATTCAGGATATTGAATCTCAACCATCGAAAATAAAAGTAACTTAATAGTTATCTATCTCTCTCTCACTTTCTCATTCACTTACTCAATATGAATATAGTTGGTACTATTGGTAGAAACCTTTCACCCCAGTTTTCAAACACTATAATCAATAATCATATTATTCATACTAATTATTGTAATAATATCATATAAGTATCTCTATACACTATATCTGTCTAATGCATAGGTGACCAACTTGCTGCTCGCGAGCCACACGTGGCTCTCGTCATTGTCAGATGCGGCTCACGTCTTGTTTACAAAATCGAAATTTACTTAATTCGATTATAAATTTTAATTTTTTAGGTATTAGCTTATAAAAAATTATCAAATCATATAAAATGTGTCTATAAACATTTTGGCTCTTATTATCATTGTACTTATCTATGTGACCCGCGAACCTATTCTTGTTGGTCACCTCTGGTCTAGTGAATATATGTTTTAAATTATTTAATAAAGCATACCTATTATATTATATTAAGCTATAGGTAGATAAATACCTAGTTTGTTTTTAATTTACATTATAAAATTCATTTTCAGATGACCAATAAGGAAATTAATAAAAATAAAAGTCTGGGTCAAGTATTATTATACTTAAAGAAGGATTTCATACGGTCATATTCAGATCCATATGTTAGGAAACTTTGTTTATGGTGGGCTTTTGCTTTCGGAGCATATGTACAGGTAAATGCAATGAAATATCGAAATAGTATATTATGTGACGAAGACGGGAATAAGTGAGCTGGTCTACATTTTGTCCAAAACTGAAATTGACAACGTCCTCGAAGTATTCGATCCCTTAAATTGTATTCGAAGATTTTAAAAATCATACCATTCTTTAACCATTTTTTCCACGTAGTTCTAATGTCCTATAATTATTAATTGTTTATACGTGAATGTAATATTATTATATTACTGCATATTTACTGGCAATTAAATTTCACATAATACAAATTCCTTATAAATCTAGTATACCAAGTGCTGATAAAGGTGTCATATAAATATTTTTTTAAATTCCACACCCTAGATTCATTCACAATCAAAAAAATTCCTGTCACCACCTTGTCACAGTATACCGTTTTTTTATATTTATAGATATATTAAATCTCCAAAAATTGTCACTCTATATACTTTCATTTCAGGTTTACACGTACATTAATGTTTTATATACATATGTATTAGATTTAAACGAGGATTCACATTTTACTTTGTATAACGGTGCGGCAGAATCATTGAATACATTAATAGGTAGGTATCTAATAAAAAAATGTGATACATTGACGTATTATACATTACCTATACCATCTTCGCCTATATACGACGGATAATATTATGGGAAATGTTTATATTTTAATCCTTATTTCCATTTCAATGGATTTCATTGAGTTACAAGTAGGATAAGATTATTTTGTATGAAATAAAAAATAAAAAAAGGAAAATTTAATTGATGACCAACATATCGCTTTTTTATTGATGATTTTTTTCAATGTAATTTAATATAGGTACGTAAAAAATATCAAATAAATTCATAAAACTTTGATTTTGGGTCCTACACATACGCCATACGGACTACGATTATAGCTAACATCAACTTATCAAATTTCAAATTTTTAATTAATTATATAATAAATTTACACAGATCTTTACATTAAGCGGAAATATACTGCAAAACAAGATTTCATATTATGTTCCCCGTCGTAAAGAGACGATAATTGAAAATGTTAGTCATTTAATACGGTCATCATCTTAATAAAAAAATGTTAAATATTTATTGTCTATATAATAATAATATTATACATTTGGACAATTCGATTTTAATTTTGTAATGAAATATTATATTTCTAGGGGCTATTGCTGCGTATTCGATCGGCAAACTTGAATTAAATTGGTTTAAAGTCGGAGACTTGTTTTTAGGAATTGGTTCTATACTCGCTGGAATTGTACTTCTCGGTTGTTTTTACACGAGAACTATGTGGTTCATTTACGCTTTCTACATAATCTACGGATGTCTTTATCAAACCATGTTGACGGTCGCCGAGTAATTATTACCTATTTGAATATCTTCACAAAACAAAAATCATATACATATTTATTTGAATAACCGTTCGATATGTCGTACATTCTAGATCCGAAGTCGCAAAACGATTAAGCAGAGATAGTTACGGTCTCGTGTTTGGATTTAATTCATTTATAGCTCTGTTCCTACACACACTAATGACTTACGGCATCGTTCAAGGACACATTATCTCGGTTTCAACGATACAACAAGTAAATAAATAAATCAATAAAACAATAAACGGTATCAGAGGTTTTTTTTTTAAATATCATAAATATCAGTGAACTTTTTTACACGTGCTACACAACACGTAATGTATTGTAGATTTGACAAATCAGTTGTGCATCACTAACGACTAAAAACAAAATCATTTAAAATGATAAATCTATAAAATAATATGATGACTTTTAACGTAGATAGATTGGGTCAGATTAGAGGTACCCACCTGTAGTTTAGTTGATTTGTACCACTAATACCTATGTGAGTTTCCACGCACAAACTAATAGGTACCTACCACAATTTGAGAACATCCAAAAGTCTGTTATAGTCATGACCTTAAAACTTATCGTAACTATTTAACGTTTAGACATCTAATGAATCAATAATCTTTACCTATAGATATAATATCACAGAATGAATTAAAATATATTTTCGAAGGTACGATATGATAATATGAAATTTCAACGTTAGAATTATCATATATCAGAGTATATTTTAAGAATTTTTTTACTAAGTGGCACTATCACTATATAAGTCGCAATGACTTGGTCAAAATATACTTACCTCGGGTACCTTTTGTTTTCGACTTGCGACATGGGAGCACAAGGCACATTCGTTAACCACAAGGTAGCATTCGTGCCACTTACTTCATATATTAAAATATGCTCCGATATATATATATATATATAATATATCATTAATGTTTTACATAGATGTACCTTTTATTAGAATCGTTAGAAAAAAAAATGTTTAATTTAATGTTACGATTCTAAACGCATTATCATTTTTTTTACAGTTTTTAATTTATGCTGTTTACTACATGAGCATTGGAGCACTATTTCTAATCTTTTCAATCAAAAATTATTTCTCATCAGGTTCAACCGTCAGTTTTATAGAATGTAAGCAATAAATTATATGTACCTACATATATATTAATCTTAAACACGTATTATTTTTTAAATTTATTTATAAATATTTTGTATTGTACATAATTTTAAAATAACGCAAATACATGAACTGAGAATACTAATGAATATAATTAAGTTGGTATATGCATTTGTCTTATTGTTCTTAATCTTTGTACACAGACTTCTATATTATAATACTATAATTCTGTATCATATAGAAAGAAGTCTGTGTCTTTAGATAGGTATTTTTCAGTTTCGGTAAATTATAATAACACTAGTTTATTTCCTACAATAAATACTTAATACACAGATACTAGATAGATTTATCGACTTAACAATACATAGTGATAAACCTAATATAGATACTTAGTGCTGAAAACGAAAGTGTTCTTAAATCTAAATCATTTTATAAGGTGCATGACATAGATATATTCTCTTATTGATATTTGAGGATTCTAACGTAAGGGGCTGGTTTGCCATAATGTGTCATTACCGATTTCATGACTCCTGTCCCGAAGAGCTGATGATGCTGTATTAAAACTAGCAACATAAGAATTAACTTTCATTTGTCATACAGTTTCTCAATAGTCAGAGTCTCAATTCTATGACTTACACGTCAAGTTTAATTCGTCAATTATTTAACAAGAAACAATTTGCAGCAGCTAGTACAAAATCTAGAGAAATAGCTGTTAACGTGATGGCTCCTTTTGTCGTCAAAACGATTAAAGAAGACTTAGAAAAGGATAGGTAATTTCTATCAATTCCTCAAACTACAAGTCTATGAAACTCGTCCCCAATTATTGTGCGTTATGTTTCGACTGTGTCGAGAGTTCAAAACGAAATTTTGGAGTTTTTGAGTTTACCGGGAGATGTGACCGCGAAAATAATTCACGCTCATATCGCAAAAAGTTTTAAATGAAAATGCTTTAAGTGATAAAATAATAAGTTACTCAGAAGATAATACAAACACTAATTTTGGAGGTATATGTTATGAAAAGGTAAAATAACGTAAAAATATTAATGTACTATATTATTATAATTAGTATAACTGTTGTCCATTTACTTAAAATGCTGAAACAACTTTGTACAGAAAAATTTCAATGGGAGAGAGGGAAGGGTAATTGCCCTTAATTAACGTCCCTTTTGATCGTTGTTGATCTTACCTTTTAATAATTTGTATTTGGTTTAATAAGTACGAATACCTATTCAATTTTCATTCGATAGCTGACAATAGAAGAAGGAAGCTATTTTTAAATACTTGGTCATCTATAAAAAATTAACTCACCTTGAATTATTGAGGTGATTTTTTTTTTTATTGGTAACTCTTTTATTATTTCATTACATAATATACTTATTATTGGTCTTCAATAAAATATATAGACACCTTACGTAATATGCATAGATTATAAACATGTAAAATAGATTAGGAACTTCAGAATGATTCAATAAACAGACGATAATTTCACAACTTTGGAGATTTATATTACATTAGCGGGTACTACATAGATTTGCATTAATACAGATATCTGAATTGTTAAAACTAATATCGTTATTATAATCATTCTTTTAAGTTTCAAGTACCTACATAATGTATTATTAAATTTGCATTAAAATTAATATCAGTAGAATTATTGTAAATTGTCAACCACCAATAGGCAATAGATATGAAATATGAATGTAGGTACCTATAATAAGTTTATGCAACGATGTATTGAAATGCAATCAATAAAAATGAGCAAGTGCCAAGTGGGTACCTACCGCTATCTTTTACTGCGAAAAAAGTTGTAATCCGAATAACGGCCTGGGAGTTTTTTTTACGTTATTCCAGAATTGCAGCTCGATCAATATTTATTATATTAATATGGCTGCATTCAAGTTGGGTCCCGAATTTAGAATTGCTACACTTGTTGGGTCCCGGATTATTATAGGTACTAAACTAGTTCTTGAATATTTTTTGGCAAGTACTGCACTATACTAACATTTTCCTTTTCATTTTAACAGACTTAGAACTGTCTATGATCTATTTAGACCACAGGTACGGTTAAAAATGTGTTTTTGAAAATATTAAAAATGTTAAAAACCGAGTATAAAAATACATATAATATAAATTAGCTATATAGGTGTAAGTGAAAAATTATTAAAAATATAAATTATTAACATTTTGTAAGAAATAAATCATCTTTGTGTTGGTAAAAATATTAAAAATTCTTCATAATATCTTTATTATTTTTTTATTACCTATGTGGCTATATTTTAAATAAAGCTTTTAACAGACTTATCCTAAGTACGTATGTTAAAATGGGAATGAAAATGTTAGTATTGTGTAGTACTTACCAAAAAAATATTCAGGAACTAGTGTAATACCTAAAATAATTCAGGACCGAACTAGTGTAGTACCTATAAAAATCAGGGACCCAACTAGTACACACGTGCGATTAGCCCCTAATGATCGGACCCAACTCGAATGCGCCGATTAATATACGTCTATCATACCATTAATATTATTATCGTTGACGGTTTAATAATAATGTCATTCACTTATAGCTGAGGCTTTTCACTAGCACACTCACAAATATTTTTGTGTTCACTGATGTTTTGAAAAATATGAAATTGTCAATAATTCACCTGCATTAATCTTGCTTGTATGATCAGAACAAAATATTATGGTAAAGAAACATTCATAAGAAATTTAATGGCTTAAAATTTATCAGAAGCTCAAATTAACAGGTTAAAATTTATAAAAAGAAATTTCAATTAGTTTTTACCGATACCATAACATGTTATTCAGTTTTAAGGTATACCTATGATTAAATTATTTTATTTTAACATTACACAAGTGCACATTAATTACAGCATAATTGCTCATATTATAATTCAATTAGGTAATTCTCTGTTGTAAAAAATAATGTTTTATCATCCATATTTTCTAGATCTATGTAGGAGTTGATAAAAGTCAGGGATAGGATTAATATCATCTAGTTTGATTTAAAATTATTATTATTATAGTATAACTATTATAAAAATGAGCCAAAATGTTACAATTTTTTTTTGAATTGACTGATGAAATTTTAAAATGGAATAATTAAAAAAAAAAGGAATTAAAAATACAATACAAGGAATAATTTTATTAGAAAATTACTTTAAATTAACTTTATGAATTACATTTTTGTCATATTGAAATCTATTCAATGATAATTTTGAAGGTCAATAAATAAAACTAATTATACATAATTCTTAATTTATCAATAAATTTTCTTTTAATATTAAAAAATCAATAGATGTATATAACATTACTTTAGCGTTTTATTATAAAGTAATAAATTTTAATTAAAATTATTATTTATGAGTTATTTATCAAACAATGTTCAGTTTAATGCCGTTTTTAATTTATTATCACTTATTATAGAAATGTATTGACAAAAAAACATATCAAATTAAATTATATCAGTGTTTAAGCAAAAACAACACTAATGTAAAAATGAAATGTTGAATATAATATAAGATGTACACTTGAAGAGAACAATTAACGACATTATACTAGTTAAAAAAAAATCACTATTTGAAAAAAATATATATAATAATAACAAAATAATAAAATACTTAAAATATTTCGAGGGAAAAAACTTAAATTTTACATATTAATATATATACTAAAACTTAAGATGATTACTAATGTGTACATCTTGTTTTTTTTTTTTTTTTTGTATTAAAAATTTTGATTATCACAAATATTGTTTAACAAATGATACATTTGTTAAGTGATTCTGACAATACAAAAAGGAAAATAAGTACTCAGTTTAGTTTAAATTTTATTACAATTATAAGTCAATTATAAGTCAAAATACATATACCCAATAAGATGAGATAGAATTAGGTAAATTATTCATATTTGCCCATGTTTCCAATTACTCCTCGCACCGTCTTTTCCACTACAGCAGCTACTAAATTTGGATCAAATTGACCACCCACATCTTTAGATTGAGATACAGATGATGAATCAGAATAATCATTTTTTCTCCATACTTGCCCTGAGTTGTAAGATCTGCCACTATCGTATGGTTTTCTATCATATCGACTATTTCTATAACGGTCTGAATAACTACCACGGTCATAATCGTCCCAACCACCATTATCATAATAGTGATCACGACTATTGTAGGAATCTCGATTTCCTCTCATACGACCACCATAGGGGTGTCCACCACTTCCGCCTCCGCCACCACTACTACGCCCACCACGTGACCTTTGGTCCTTATCTTTAGGCATAGCAACAGAAACACTGAGACGAATATCTTTAATGGTATGATCCTGGTCAAGAGCAGTGAGTGCAGCATCAGGTTTGGTAAATGATACAAAGGCAATGCCCTTAAATGGACGAGGAACAAAGACTTCAACAATATCTCCAAATTGTTTAAAATAGTCTTCTAAATCTTCTTGAGTTATATTTTCAGTCAGTTGACCTACAAATATTTTCTTTGGCGCTTCATTTATAAATGCATCCTAAAATCAATTTGATTATATTAACAAAGTATAAAAAAATAAAACATAAAAAGTTATAATTTCATATCAGAAAAAAAAATTTATGAACATGCATACATGAAATACCCTCTAGATATTAAAGAAAATAATCATAAGGTAAATCATAAGATATAAAATTTTAAAAATATTTACTTCAAGTATAACATTAAATGGTGAGCTAAACTATAATATATATATGTAGATACATCATACATTTTAATTTCATTCGTAATAAAAGTTATTATTATGTTCAATCAATTATATTGATATGGAAATATAAAATATGTTACTTATTATATTTACTACCACACAATTAAACAAAATTTGATCATAAAAATATAGTAAATTAAAGTTAAATTAAGTTTGCTTAAAAGTGCTATTAGTTGCATTTCTAGACTGTAAAATTATTTAAAATAACATTATGTTTCTATTTTTGTTAAACTGGAATTGCTTTTGATTAATTTTTAATACATAATACATAATAATGTCTACTTGAAACAAAAATATTTAAAAATTAGAGCTAAAATGTACACATAACATATTTTTAATAGAATATCAATAATTAAAATAAACTAGCTCATTAGAAAACAAGAATAAAATAACAATTTAGTTGGATAAATGATCATTAATTAATAAATAATTTGAAATTAATAAATTTTTAATTTCATAAATTGTGATATGCTCATTATATGCTTAATAATTAAAATATTAAAAATAACAAAGTAAAAATGAAAATTCTAAACATATTATTTAGTATGTTATGTTCAGTAACACAGAGAAAATAAATGCGAGCATAGGTTAGGTTAGTAGAAAAGAAAAAATTATAAAAATGAAGCTGATATGATTATATACATATTAAATGATAATTATTTTATAATTAAATTATAAAAATTGATAAGCATGGGTACATTTTTTGATTATGAATAAACTACGTGTTTCTTTAATTATTAAATTGTACAGCGAAGTAGTAAATACATTAAATATAATATCAACAACTGTGAAGCCAAATACTTTTAGTTTTTAAATTCTTTATTATATTTTTATCTTTTATTACATAATATTGAATTGAACAGTTATTTATCAAAAAACAATAAGATAATTTTAATGTATTTTGTATACGAAGATTATTCAAAGATTTACCTATTCATTATTTCAATTTTTTTTTAAAGACATTAAGTAAAATAAAGTAGTTTATAATTTATCGGAAATTGAGATGTTATTGTATGCCTAATAGCAAACTTTATTAAATAGACCTTTGTCATATTTTATTATGCCTATAAAGTTATAAAAATATTAATTTTTAGTACATAGAAAAAATGTTTCAATTGTAAATAATTAAATTAAAAATACACAAACTGCTAAGAGTAATATTAAAATGTATTGGCAACTACTGCTTTTAACCTATGCTACCTTTAGATTACATAAATATTAAAATTAAAAATAAATATAAAATAAGTCAAACAAATTGAAAACAAAAATTAATAAATAGAGTATATGTTATGTATAAATAATAAAGGAATATTTAACACCTTATCTTTACCAATTTGAGCTCATATATTTTACAGATATATGAAATTAGAACACTTAATTCAAGTTATAAAAAGTTTAAAACTGTATATAACAAATATTTATAGTTAACAATACATTATAAGTACCTTAATGTTAGGTATTTTTATCTCACATCGCCTTCCATTTATCACATGAGAATCTAACATTGATCGCACTTGAGATTCTTGTTCTTTAAACCGTATGAATCCAAAACCTCTGGATCTACCGTCAGTTGTCTTTTTAATCTAAATTAAATTATATGATTAAAATAATATGATTTATTAAAAAAAAACATAATTGATAAACTGGAAGATTAAAATCAAACACTAAAAAAAGTATTTTCACAAACCAAATATAAAGAACTAGCTTTATATCACATTCATACATTTCCTAATTTACAAACCCTTTTTTCTTTGTTATTTTTATTTAACTAACTTGTGCCATGCGCAGTTCACCGTATTTACTAAAGTAACTTTCTAAGTCCTCATCAGTCGTTTTCCATGGTAAACCGAGCACAAGTAAATCACGATTCTTCCAAGCTGTTGATGTTGCCTCAGACTTGGGTTCCTTGGATGCTCGCTCAACATCACTTTCAAATTCTTCGTTCAATTTCCTTTTCTGTCCATTATCTGAACACACATATCATTATCATTCCTCAACATTATAAAATGGTTACATATAATTTCACATTGATTCTTTAAAAACATCACTTATTTAAGAAATATTATGCAAATAATTTAAATAGATAATTCTTTAAAAATCAACCATATAGCTGATAAATATATACGCTTAGATAAATATTTGGACAAGTCCAGTAAGCTTTTCATTCTTACATAGAAGTCAAACGCTTAGATTTCATTTGAATTCAATGAAAACAATAAATTCCAAAAATGTATATCAGTACAAGCTTAAGATCATGTAAATGAGAATGAATAGCTAGTTCCAACACTTGTTGAGTTTTCATCACATAACTTCACCATAATAATATGGAATGAACCAGTAATAGAAACTATTTTAAGTATGAAAAGATGTTTCAGTGTGTTTAAAAGCCAATCCCGATTGACTGAAACCTTTTCCCAATATTCTCATACACAGGTATTATCTCAAATTAAATTAATCAATTATACAATTATATTATATGATGTACTTTTAATTTTAAAAATAAAGTAAACGTACCCTTGTTAAACGAACAAAAGTATACAATGTCGCCCCACCCATCATCAGAAGGTGGATGCAGCTTATCATCGGCAAGCCGAAGAGCTCGTGTTCGACCATTATCCGGAGCTACATACTTCAAGCCGCAAGCATCCGGATATTGTGCATGAAGTGTAGACAACAAGAGGGTGCCATCTTTTTCCAACGGCAAGTCCACCACTTCTTTTTCATTGTCATTTGTGTCAGACACTTGAACGAACGACATGGCTTTATTCAAACGGAAAATGTACTAATGCGACTTCTGAAAGATAGTTTACTGACTAACAAAGAGTATCGACTCGTGTAAGAATTTTCGACAATGTATAAATCAAAGAATTAAAACGATTGAACACATACTTGAATACGTAAAACTAGGATACTGGAAAGTGCCACAGCCCAAGTGGACTTTGAAGTAAGAAGATTAATGATGAAAATTTATGATATTAAATATTAATGTACAGGCGGACATACGCACCGTCACACAGTAAACACTAAACGCTTCGAAATTACAGATTTAAGTACAAACTACCAAACGAAGACGGGCGACGAATAAGACAAGTACTACAAACGTACAAACGCACAGTGCACACATTAATGTTAACACAAATCAAGTATCGACGGAGAGTGAAGACACTGTAACCATTGTTACCAACCAATTAAAATTTCTAGCCTCGTCTTGCTTGGTCGGTTTTAATTATTTTAATAGGTAGGTATGCCGTATGCGTTGCTTATATTTTGTTATTTGTAATAAAATTAAAATATCAAAATAAAAATTTATGAAGGACTCCGGAAAATATTATTACCCTTAAATTTGAAGATCAGTCAATTCACTCTAATATTAAAAATAACACAGTAAAATGAATAATTCTTCTGAATATAAAATTTACTATAGGTATTATGCCTATGCGTAAGAGTTGGTAGTGAACACAGATACAAGACGACTAAAAGTGAACGACGTAAATTATGATGAACAATAATAAATTGTCATTGTTAAACATTTATTAATCATTAACCTATTCATCTGTAACAAATAGTTAGGTATAATTGTATAGAAAAAATCGCATTTTATAGAAGTTCTTGGTTTATAAAAATAAATGCAGATTTGATAAATTTATAAAATAGGTAGTCATTTATTTTTGATAGGAAGATTGATATCTCTTAAATGAAATAATATACATTAAGTACTCATGTTGTTAGAATTTTTAATATTTTCTGATTTTACACGAATGTCATTATTTTTAAGTATCTACAATTTACACGACTTTTACCGGCATATAAACATATTAAAAAAAAAAAAAAACATAGGTTTTGATTATTTAGCCACATACCTAACTGCTTCATTAATCGTTGAAAATATCATGAGCACACAATTAGGTACCTACATAGGTATTTAGCGAATGATAATAATTGACGATGTTCTCGAAAATACTTGCCAATACGATATAATCGCAACCACGTACGATTTCGTGACGTATAGATTGAAGAAACGCGTCCATGTGAAACGATCAATTTATTTAAACAATATATTATCTACTATGCGCCTATGTAGATAATTCAAAATGCGCGATATACCTACAAATAAATACTAGAATAAACGCATCCGCGTGCAACGGTCCTAATTTTCTTGTAAAAAATCAATGAAGTTTATCCATATTAAACAATCATAACGATAATATTAAAAAAAATGTAATTGATTTGATTATGAAACTGCAATACCTATTTTAAATACCTACTATACATGTCATCATTTACTAATTTAAAATATACCAACCTACTTTTAAACTACAAAATAAAACTTGACATGTTAAATATCTTGTATTTTTTTTTTTTTATTTTAATTTAAATATTTAAAAAAAAAACACTTGCAAAACTCAAAACTGTAGCATGTTTTAATAAAAAGTTTTTTCAGATAGCAAATAATCGGACTTGTCAACTAAGTCTTATTTTCTGAAATAGGTATGATTTCTGTTAAGTTACAGACTGAATTTAAGTTCATTTTCTCCCGCTTACTTAATAAACACTCCATATAGTCTTATATAGTATCTTAGTACGTTATGACTAAGAACTATTATTAGGATGTTTATGACTTTTACATATTTTTTCTTTTAGTCGTGCACATTGCAGATCCAGTAATAAATTCGTTTTTCATATTTTTTAGAGCTCTTTTTAGATATTTAAATCTTGACATTAATTATTGAATTAGAGGCTGATCCATTTTTTTTTTTCATATAATTTATTAAAAGTTGTTAAAATAAGCCATCTGAAATGAAACCAATTAAATGTTTTAAATGTTTTGTACCTATATATATATATATATATATACTTTTATTATAAAAATCAAACATCATTAAACACGATGTACTTAATTAATTGTAAGTTTAGACAGATTTTGTGCATATGCTAGTACAATGAAATGTTTAACTATAAAAAAGTAATTATTTTTTAACAATTGCAATTTATAATATAAAATTTGAATTTAGAATATATTTTATCTTTTATAAATATGATAAATATAATATTATAAATATTAAATAGTTATATAATTGAGTGTATACATAAATATTTAAAAACTGTTTATTACCTCGACATAATAATCTTATACTTAAAAATATCATAAGAATAAAAATAATAGTTAAAATTACAATGATACAATACTAAACAAACTGTACATAAATATAAAAAAGAACCATATGTGAGAGTATAAGTATATAGTTTATGTTTTTCGCGGTGTGACTTTCGACATTCCATAAGGGGCAACACCATTGGTCTCCAGATAAAAAATTCCACTTGCTCTGGAAAAAAATCGACAAAAAAAAAAAATTATGAATGAAATGTTTATTTTCTAAATAGTTAAATCGTATGTGTAAATTCATACTATACGTATAGCAAGGGGTCGGCATTTAAATTCTATATGGTAGTCCAGAAAATTTGAAAAAAAAATTTCGAGGGCCAGTAAAAACTCAGATATTAGTTTATAATTGTTATGCTATCGTAATACTATATTATTGTAAACAGCGATTAACGATAAACACCATCGTAATTTTCAAATACATCATATACTAAGCATATATTGCATGCAGTAAACCAGCATCCATCATTAAAAAAATATTTTTTGCGATCCAATTATTTTCCCTGCATGAGCCGAATTTGGCTCGTGGGCTGCCTATTGCCGACCTCTGGTGTGTATATATATTAATCATAGATGGAAATATATATGCCATAGAGAAACCCGGAAAAAAAGTCCGACCAGAAAATTATTAAACAGAATAAAAGCCCGGTTTAATTTGTTGTTATACAATCTACAATAATAGATTAATCGTCTAAAAATCACTAATCAGACTAATAATCTAAATAATAGAAGATAAGTTAGATAGAAAAATAATGTGCATTAAAAGGTAAGAAAAAAAGATGGCACAATTAATCTGTATTATAAGATAGAATATGAAATACCCAATAAATCATATTATATAAAATTGATGTTCTGATACAGCGCATAAGAAATTCAATAAAATTATTATCCACTCTCGCAGTTATTTTATTAGGTAATAAAGATAGAACAATTAATTTTGAATCGAAGATGGAATATGAAACACTCAGCATAGGTAAATTATATTCATATTTATTGATAAATCAAGACATTTTTTTCCGAAAAAAATCAAACCGGACTTTCTTCCGACTCCCTTGCCATATATAGTATGTGTATATAATTATTTCGTGCAACATTACACATTTTTAATAGCTTGTCTTATTATTAGTATAATATATTTACATATAATTATCAATAATTATTTGTCCCCCCAATGTAATGTAATGTATGTGCACCTAATGCTGCCGTAATATAATATACGCGTGGTATCCTGTAGTCATCATTTAATTGTTTTATTTTTTTTAATGTAAGCATAATGTACTTATTTAATTTTAAATACAATTAACTGCATTAACTGCATTAAGATACTAAAAAAAATGAAGTGATAATACTTCGACGACCCTATATATACACAAAAGAATCGAGTACATTTTTTGAAGGTAATTCATGGGTATACCTTTGATTTGTTAAATTTTTGTTTCCTAGAAATAATGTTTTTTATTTTTTCAATAAATTAAATTTACTGACCTAATAACTAAAATCCGTACAAAACACTTGAAAACACATTTGTGTACTTAGAACAAAATATGAATGTTTATAGTTTGCACTGTATTTAAACAATTGTTCATTTTATAACTCTTAAATTATTGATTTAACTTCTTTCGCGTATTTTTTTAAATCAATATTTCAGACTTGACTAATATTAATTTCGTATACTGTTGTACGAGTATTGGGTTAAAATATTGAAAATATGATAGGTACACCGGTACACAGATTAGAAGTGAAAAAATAAAAAAGAAGTTAGTCTTTGAATTATAACTTAAAATTTAAAGAATATAAATATATATATATATATAAGCACAAAAATTAAGATTTTAAAAACGAATATAATCCTGCAAAAAATTATAATATATGATGCATTACTATTCCCATAGTTATGTTTTATTTCAAACATATTTTCTGTGTATACAAATATTGTTCAACCCATTTTAACACTCATATACATTTTTATATTATTAAAAATTTCCACAATATTACCAGTTGGTCTAGTTGAGAACTTAAGTAAACAATTTACGATAGTTTTTATTTAAAATAATTATTTCGTTCCGCTCGATTTTAAGGAGTATTATATAGGCAACTTATTTAATATTTCTTATTTTCCATAGCAAAATAATACTCGTGATCATCGTACGAGTTCGTATACTTAAATTAATCAGTTTTAAATTGAGCTCAATTAGCCGTATTCTTACTTTGGATCTGCGTCATGTCCCATAGGACTTTTAGTATTATTTTTACATTCGCCACTCGTATACTCGTCCCATGTAGGACATTGTGTAGCTATAAACGAGTATCTATGGTAAATGGAATCTGTGTAAAATTGATGCGATCTTGAATGACTGCAGCCGACTGTAAATTATTCAGCACACATTTAATTATTATTATTATTATTATTATTATTATTACCTATATGTTATAAATTATGATCTATGATGAGATACTCGTCTAAACTATCTACCAGATAAAATCATTTTTGTTACAAAATTTTAAAATGGGTACTTGGCTTTTAATTATTTACTTTGAACAAAAAAAGTTTATTTTCTATAATCTGCATGAAAAATTCATCACTCCGTCATTATATGAACTTACTGAGGCTTACAAAAGCGCTTGGCATGTATGATTCTAAACATCCCGGTTGAGGGGGCTTCCCCTCGTTTGGGTAAAAATCGGCATGTCCTAAGGGTTTTGAGTATCCAGCTGTCCCCGTTGCCGTATGGATCACGTCCACAAATGTTGCATCAGTACTGTCTAATTGGTCTGAACGCAATGACACGTACTCAAATCCAGGACCAGCTGGGTCTAGACCTGAATTTTACAGAAGAATAAAAATTAAATGGGAAAAATATAATAGAGAGAAATAGTAATTGAAATATATCATATACTAGATACAAATAGTACGTTAAAAGTATATTATGTAATTGTTATTTTAACTCGTGAATGGCAAAATATTCATTTTTATTTTAATGATTATTACGTGTTAATAGGTCTATGTGTAATACCATCGATTACATATACAAATGCAATATGTATATTTAACAATAGTAAAACGGAAAAGTCAAGTGCAACAAGGATTCGTTTCATGACAATTTTACAACATTTCAAAAATATGTGTTGCATGTTAGTCTGCTTAATCTAAGTAATTTTTTACGACGTATTTACTGTTAATAAATCATTAGGAAAAACATTTTCAATCATAAAAGAAAAAAGCGGGCAAGTGGATACCGCTCTGTTGTATATTAGGGGGTGGGGTGAACCTTGGACTAGGGTAGATTAAATTTGAATGCAATGATAGGTATCATTGTATACGAAAAACGATTCTGAACGGAGATGATTTGTCAGTCTAGGATAAATTATATTTAAATATTGTCATATATTCTATTTTAAAACAAATATTTTATTTTTCAATTAGGACGCATTTGCAAAAGTCATGGTTAATCAATTTTTCCAAAAACATTGCATGTAGTTGTCATAATTCATAATACCTTAATATATTATCATAGACATACCTGATATACCAAAAGAATGATTATAGATATCTTATAACACAAAAAGAAATACCATAATATCACAGAACAATATAATATATCTAGTTCGTAACCACAATAATCATATCGTATAATACATATAGGACATAGGTATATACATTTTATTATTTTACTGTAGGATTATTAAATATATTATAATCTGTGGTACCATCAATGTGAAAATTAAAAATTTTTAAATTTCCGTGGTTTATGTTTTAAACGCTTGAATACACCAAAATTTAATTCTTTTATAATTATTGCAAGCTAAATTTATGGAAAATCTTGTATTAAATTTTCAACTCTTAGCTACTTATACAAAAATTTTTATGAATTATACCTATAAAATAATTTGCAAATATTCATGGTTTTGACGAATTTTTGTCAATATTTGAACTTTAAATGCTAATAAAAAAAATTGTGCCTATGTATTCTTAAAATTTTTTGATCACTATAAGAATAACTCATGAGGAACTTTGTATTAAATTTTCAAGTACTTTGATTGGGCCAAAAATTTTTTATCGACACTTCAAAAAAAAATTTTCAGAAAAATTGAAAATTTCAATTGTCTATAAATAGCTCAAAAAAAGTCAAAATATTTTGAAAATTAAATCATGTAAAGAAAATGCCAATTTAAATAACTGGTAAAATTTTCAAGTATTTACGATTTATACTTTTTGAATATTAACAAATGTTTAAAATCGTTTGAGGATAAATCGTTATCGTTACGCTATTTCGTAAAAATTTAAAATTCAAACGCACTTAAAATTTTTCCTTTAATGAATCTATGAGTTTTTACTATAGCTACTTGAAGGAAAACTAAGGGAAAACATAGTGTAGTATTTTTAATCCTTAGTTATAAACACAAAAAATTTTATGATTTTTCAATTTCAAAATTACTTACAAATTTTCGCGTTTTCGATAGATTTCGTAAATATTTGAACTATAAACGTTTATAGAAAATTATAAATTATTTTAATTTTTTTTTAGCTACAATAAGAACAACTTATAAAGAACCTTGTCTTAAATTTTCAAAATTTTTTTGTCATCCAACATTTTTTTATCGACACTTCAAAAAAAAGTTCTCATAAAAATCGATAATTTCAGTGGTCTATAAATAACACAAAAAAGTCAAAAAAATTTTAAAATTAAACTGTGTATAGATAGAATAATATTATGAATTTAATTATTATATTTTATTGTATGTTATTATACAATTTGAATGATTATGCATCTTTTGAAGTTTATCCTCCCATGTAAATGTATAATTAGTCAAAAAATAATTGTATATAATGCTGTCTTAGCCTTAATTATAATCATAGCGAATTATTAAGATTATTTAACATTAAGACGTCTATACCTGTAATTCTGCCAATTTTCCCAAGGCTGAATGCAGCACCACATGCTCCAGACACGTGTGCACCAAGACTATGGCCAATAACATGAATATCAGACGGGTCAATCACCGCAAGATTAACAAAATTTTCCAATAATTTGGCGATTATGGAACCCACCTGAGCGGTTAAATAGGCCGGCATTGGGTACAGTAGATTTTTCGCCACCCGATTCCAATCTGCAGTGATAACATTGAATCCTCCAATATCCACATATGCTGAATAGGTAATTAAAAATCAAAATAATTAAAATTGTTTTGCTTTCAAAATAATGTTTCATAATATTTAGTAATATTTTACAACTTTTTCGTTGTTGTATGCTGTATAGTCTGCAGATTACTATACCTAACAGTTTGCATCCGAATTAATTAGAATCTGTAAAACCTATAAAAAACTGAACACCTAAAATCTATAAACCTAAATGTTCTTTTTAATTCTATTTATCTTTTATCTAAATATTTGTTAACGCTGCGATTTTATTTTGTTTAGTTATAAGATAAGACGTTTAAAATTAAATATTTGTTTAAATTTGAAAAGGAAGTACACCGTAATTAAACTATATCTATAAATAAACATTTTTTAATTATAATAATCTAAAATAAATTTTATTATTTTAATATTTATTGACTTGAAATAATATAAACATTTTTATTCCAGTGTTTGAACACTCGTGTATTATAACGACATTAATTTTAACCAGAAATCCGAGTAAATAAATTTGATGCAATGTCCTGAGCTTTAAACTTCTTTTAAATAATCAAAATATAATATTTCTATTTTTAAATTATTATTTACCTAATTGAGTCTAGGATCATATGTTAATAAGTCTATAGATCATATCATCAAAGGTAAATTGTTTTATTTTTAATTACCGGTTTTTATAGCAAACACTCCTTTGTCGTCTTCATCTGATCCACGCCATCCATGTGTTATAACTATTAAAGGTTCACCCCTAATCCAGTAATTAATCATTTGTTTTTCATTGCCAAATTCAATTATTATTGATTTATTATTTCCAAGGTCTCTAAAATAAACAAAATATAAATAACATAATTAAATTATATTTTAAATGTTTTACATACAAACATCAAATAAAATAAAAATTGGAACAATAGCCATTAGCCAGTGGTTTCAGTGAAACTGCAAAGCACAATGATTAATTTTTTACAAATTGATTTAGATGAAAAAAAATGATAACAATTTTTGGCTAACAGAACAGTATAAATTTAATTAATTTTAATATGATATATAAATAATCCTAAACAAAATGTTACATACGAATTCCAATAGACAAAATCTAAACTGGTGCCATCGACAGCAAACATTGATCGATCGTCTAAATCTTCAGGCTGACCGATGTTTTCACTTACAACCTCGACGTCTTGTTCAATGACCGGAGCGATGTCATTTTCAACTGGCTTACTATTGGTTAAACTTTGCCAAATGGATCTCAAAATTCGAGCTAAACGTCGAAAAGGATTTTACAATGGCATTAAAAAAAAAAAAAAATAGATAAATAACAATACACAATATAGATAGGAACATATTATATTATTAACGTATAATATTTTATTATTACAAAAAAAAAAAAAAGAAAATATAATAAAAACTATGTTGATGACGATTTATTTATAGGGAGAAATAAATATTGACATAGAAGTTTATCATGTATTTAATAATTTTGAGCAAATGCTTATAGTATTGATTGCACAAATTCAATTCCTAGTTTATTCCTAACGGTAGGTAATTTATATATATTTATATATATATACGAACCATTGATCGGCTTGATCGCAAATAGCAGGAACAGCGGTAGGATGATTGCAGTAATTGTTGTTATGAATTTCATTTCCAGGATATTATATAATTGTATAGATATACCTATATACGCGTACTGTCTCAGTACACGTTTTATTATAAAATATTTATTATGATGTGGTAGATAAACCGATTATAAGTCTGCAAGAATTGGCTGTCAATAAAATAAAACGATCGCGGTACACCTGGGAGTTAATTTCGTTATTTGTTTAACTATTACAGTCGGCGATTGTTTTGAGTTTTGTCGGTGTGATGATAGAAATGGAAAGGGGTGAGGTTGTAATTCATACATTTAGACGTATTTATATTGCCGCGTGCAACTGTAATAAATTAGACGTCGACGATAATCGTAATTCGTAACCATATAATCAAATAATCACATTTTTTTGATTGTCCGAATGCTCGGCCATTTGTTGACTTATCACATGTGCATAGGGAAATTAACGTGTCGGCTAATAGGTATAATATATACTTATATGTATAATGATATGTAGGTACGATTTATAATTGTCAGGTGTGTACTTGCTTTAATTTTTAATTGCCATTAATACTCATCGTTGACTGCAATTATGTATACAAATGTAAATTTATACCCATGCAAATAACTACTTTATCCTTTCATTTAAATTAAGCGCAATGCCTCGCGCATAATATCAACGCCACTGCAATAACGACGTGTAGGTAGAGTGTAAATTATGTACCTAAGAATATTTGGTGAAGTAGTGCCTAACAATAAACAATGACTATTATCATTTATAATTCGTCTAATGAAATTAAATATCTACATTTACAAATTATATTAATTAGGTGTCTAGCTACTATATCATGAGTTAGGTCGAAGACATACTTTTTTTCTTTTATGTACCTACTCAGTATAATATACTTACTAGGTATCTAATTACTAATTATATAGAAAATACACATATCAAATTCACGGATGACTACGGTGAGAACGTATTTCCAAGTATAGGCCGAATTGCCGAAGAGTTATGAAAATGTAGGTAAAGGTTTAATTTTTTATTTTTACAACTGTATTTCAATTTAATGTTTTGTTTAATTGTATTTCTATAATAATATTATATATTTAATTGCTTGTATTTTTATTATAATGAAAGATTCTGTTATAAAATGTTTCCTTTTTCATTCCTCGATGGAGAGCGGACAATATCTATATGGTTAATTTTTAATACCTATTTTATATATATATTCGTATATACATATGTATTAATTATACATGACCAGCCCTGAGCCCACTATCATTTATTAGTCGTAAAAGTGTTCTATATTAAATCATTTCAATAATTTATGTTTACTAATTATTTGTCTATTAATATTTTACATAAGAAAAAATTGAAAAAATTAAATATAAATTAATATCGTTTTAATATTTCTTATAGCTCTTATCGTCAATTACGTTGTTAATCAAACTTATGAAAACGTGTCACGAAGTTATCGTTGTTATGTCGTTCAATAATAAAAATAATGTTATCGTTTTATCGTTTTGCACGAACATTAAGTCGTTATCCGTCGTTTATATCAGTTTAGTTGTTATTACGTTGTGCATTGTGCAAGTTCATGATGTTTAAAATAAAACAGAAATTGATACGAACATCTTACTTTTTTATAGAGTGGTTAAATAAAGGTATGTGAAGTATAATATGCATATAGTATTAACTAAATAACAGTTTCATAGTAAAAAGTGAAAAGTGAAAAGTAAGAAAAATGTCTTGTAAGTTACAGCACTGAGTGATATTAATTTTTAAGTAGAAGTAGCTCATATAAGTTTTCGACTACTATAAACGCTTTTCTATACAAAATACTAAATCTAAAGTAGACCCTTTAAAGCTGTTATTCATTTTAAAAATGTCATTGGTTGCAAATGACTCGGGAATGCAGGGACGCAAGGTACACAGGCTGTTGTGCCGTTATAGAACACGAATATTTTAATTATTAGAGTATCATTGTAAATTGTAATCATTATTCTAAAATACATCGGGAAGATTTTAGTTTCCACAAATAATAAAAATATATATGTTCAGAATAACGTTATTTATTGGAACAAAAAATTTTGATAAAAGTAAAATGAGATTTGTATAGATGAAAAGGGGAAATTTACAGAGGGTATGTATACCGACGCATACTAATTGGGTTCCAGAAAAAAAAATTATTTTCCTTCGCATTTTTACAGACTTAGGTCAAGTCCTAATAGACTGTTTGTAATAAAATTATTACAGGTATGACTAAAAATGTTTTTTTTTAATGTTTATTATTTTTTTAGAAATTTTTGTGATTAACAACCGTTTGTCGTTTAGTATTGTAAATAGTTAATAAATAATAATTGGGTTAAAATTTATAAGATCATTTTTAGTCATTTTTTCCTTTATGAAATCTTCTTTATAGATATTAAATAGTTTCTTCTTCTTCCCTCCGGACTTCTCATTTTAATATAAACGTCGATTTGAATATTTTTGAGCTACCAGAATAAAATGTATAGAATTGAAGTGTGAATGAAAGAATTCACATGTGTATGTAGTTCTTATTGAATTAGATTTTAATTCAGGCTATAATTTTTGAAGGAACTTTGCGTCAGTATGAATTAAATTTTTTAATAAATATTCCATCAACTTTTATAATAACTCGTAATCTTGTTGAATACTTAACAAATCATTTTTAAAACGGTTTTTAACTCCATTAATTGTTGGTAAAAATGGAAGTCCAAAATAATTGTTTAAGTAATTACCCAATTCCGCGGTTTTTTTTTTTTTTTGTTTTTTTTTTTTTTTTAATCACTACATAATTCTAAATTCTGGATCTTTTTTGGCCTAAATGAAATTTATAACTTTTAATATTTATTTGTAGCAAAACTAATACTATTTTTGGGCTCAACTTGGATGTATCCATAGGTATACTTCATGTAGATAGTATACCGTTTTAGTAGAATAATTGTTCCCAATATGATAAAAATTAATATTTATTATGGACACAATATATATATACTCTAAAATCTGATTATATAATAAATTGTCAAAATATTAATCATGAACAATGATGCTAGTTTAAAAATTTAAGTATTTTATACTAGTGTTATAATATATTACCTTAAATTTTTAAATAAAACGGAGAATTTACTCTGCTACATTGTATGAATTTTGAGTGAATATAGTACCTTATTATATAGTACCTAATGTCATTTAATAGCGGTCACTGCGGAAATGCTCGTAATCAAAATGATAAAAATAATTTAATTATAGTGTTAAATTCACTTCAAATACTTCCGTATTGCATGTAATACGGTGAAAAATGATTAGGAGCGAAGACAAAAATGTGTTAGATTCTATTTCTAAAGGTATTTTTATTTTTTTCTTCTGTTACCTATTATACTGTATACTATACAGGTACGATAAATTAAACTATTTTTTGGCCAAAAAAAAAAAACGTGTATATTATTAATTAATAAATCTAATTTTAGATAGGTATATTAAAATTCTAATATTATTTTAAACAGACGTACATTATATTATTTAAAGGCACAATATAAAACATCATCATCATAAAGTTAATTGATGTTATAGGTTAGGTACATAGGAATTATTATATTATTAACTTTTAAACTTCAAAGTATTCAATCAAATAATGGATTAGCATTAACTTAATAAACATATATCAATATATGTTAACCTACGATAATGATAAATGATGATAGTACAATACCGTATCAGGATAAAAGGATTTAAAAAAAATTAATCTGTTTTTGTCGAGCAAAACGATATTATGGATATATAGATAGATAATAATAAAAATGATATAATTATTGCCAATTAAATAAAATGTCCTTTTTTATGCCAAAAATAAATATAGGCTGGTTAGCTTAACAAATATCACTTATCAATTATCATGATCATATTATATACATAATTAGGATTGTAATAAAATTAATTAATTGACTGCGGGGCACGGCATAAAAATGGCTCCGGTGCACAATCATATTAACAGTAGCGTAGGGTGTGGCAATGTGTCCCCTAAATTCGTCCAATCACAAATAATATTGAATAATACACTGTAATAGACACATGCCCATAATAATACGAGTGGATGTAGATCGCCAATCGAGTCAGTGAATTCTCAGTTCTCTAAAAGGTGGGGTTGTTAGATGAAACAATTAACGAGAATACATCGTAACCCCATATTATATTCAGTTCACAACAGTACTATAAAAAGTAAGAGCCACCTATATTAATCTGAATACTTTTAAGTTTATATTTTTTTTATGGAGAATGATAATTTAGTTATAGGTACATAGTACAGCCGTACAGGAATGTTTTAAGATTTCAAATTTCTGCGATTAATATTATTAATATTATTTAGAATTACAACAAAATTACAAAAATCGTTTTAATCCAGCTTCGTCAAAATTTAAACTTTAAACGCAGATAGATTTTCTATAAATTGGTTGAATAGTTTTTAATATTTTGATTTTTTTTTTCAGCGTTTTTTTTTTTTTTAATTTGACTTAAGACATTTTTCATATTTTTAACTATTAATAATAACTTTATTAAATATTAAAAAACTATTCATCCGATGAACCATATTTATATAATGTGTATATCAATGACGTTTAAAGTCGGAGCCAGCTAATGAGGTAAGTGCCGCATTTCCACTTATAGAAAGGAAATAAAAATCAATTTATTTTATTTATAATGTCAATTGGTAATAAATCGTGCTGTTATATAGGCTTTAATTTGAGTTACTGTATTCTTCATTATATTAGAAATAAATTTTCTGATATCAAACATTCAATAACTGCAGGGGTTTTGGTTTGTTGCTTACCAAGCTTCAAATGCCACCGTACGCTACTGATATGCCTATATAGCTATATTATGATCTATTCTATAAAAAGCATATAGTAAATTATTTTTCATTAAACTAAACCAGAGACTCAAATGTGTAATTATGGAATGCGAAACATTTTTGTTAGATACTAAACAACCTACTATGCGCGTGCTACGAGATGGATAGAGAAAATAAGTAATGCGTTGGTATATGCGGCCTTATAATTATTTAACTTAATCATAATCCAAAATCAATGTTACATCCAATTACGATAGATGCCTGTATAACAAGAATTATTTCTAAAAATAAAATTATAATAATACTAAACGCATTAAAAAAAAAAAAAAGTATTGATAAATATTTTAATACAATAATTAGAATACGAATAAATTATTACTAGCTGGCATGTACAATTGAAATTTAATAGTCGATAAATTCTAAAACAATGTACCTATATCTATATTGTAGTTCTACTTGATAAAAATCAAATCACACTAAAAATGAATGTAAATAATAAGAATATGCTATGTACCTATATATGACATATGTATACATTATGTAAGTATAAATTATAAATATTTTGAATTCAGAGCCTTCGATGAAAAATGATAGGTCATTATTAAATATTTAAAAAAATATTTTAATAATAATTATATATTAATTACAGTCATTATAATATAGTCAACCATTATAAACAAATATATGTGTATAATTAATAATGTAAGTTCGTATTTCGTATTTAGATCTGAATACTTGAATTGTTTTTTTTTTTTGATTTATAGAACTAAGTCAAATATTCTAAACATACAGTCAAATTTGCTTATATAACGATCTTCAATGGACCTAGAGAATATGATCGTTATAACCAAACTTAGTTACCTATATCCGGATTATAAAAAGTAACTACACATAATATATAAAACCAACCATAAGCACTGCTTGGAATCGTTTTACCCGGAATATCGTTATATACAAATAACAATAATATAATAATAGTGAATTGGACTGTAATTAATAATATGCATTTATTGTACCTAGTACCTACTTAGTTTACATAATATATTAATAGTTTTTTTTTTACTTATTTAAATTTTCTAAACGCTATTATCAAATTATTTTAGTCTTACCATAAATTTGACAAGAATACTCAATAGCTTGTTATAATTTATGTACTTAGTATATAATCACAGTTATACCTATATATTTTCTTTTTTTGCCCATTATTTAATATTTAATTTATTAAAATTAAGACTTACAATTCTATCATGCATAAAAACATTTTTTTTTTTTTTAATATTTATAGTGGCATGATAGCACACATAAGACAGGAACATTTTCGCTAACTTGTGAAGTCCTGCTGACCGCAGTTTTTGTTGCGATAGAAATATAATTAATAAGAGATAATTGGCTACGAACGAGTTGCATGCATACCATGCAGTATACAAATTATTAAATTTTAATAAGCTTAAAGTAGTACCTACCATTAGTACTAATCGTCAATCACTACCTTGTTATATCAGGTATTTACTCTATTAATAATTTATTACTACATTAGTATAGTTGTAGGCGTCGTAGTCAGTATTCATAGTATATAGTTTCGGTAACGTTTCCTGCGTGGATAATAAAAATGTAACACGTTCATCGAGTTCACTGCCGCTCGGTTGTATTTTAGGTAGGTATATGTTTGTAATAAAACTTAAATCCTATTACCGGTTTCAATATCTGGTATTGGTTCATGGTTGTATTGTAATATTTGTAATATAAATTTAACCGAAATTGAAACACGCTATAAAAATCATCAATAACTAAAAGACAAGAATATATAGGTGTATATAGGTAGTTTTGAATCTAAACGGATTACGCATTAGAAATAAAAAATACATTTATTTGTAATATATATTATATAAATTTGTTTAACATTACAAAAATAGGCACATAATTCTCCAACGTATATATTAATTATATATATTTATAATATACATTATATAATTTAGATGCCAGACATGTATAATATACGGTTTATTTTCGGCACAAACAAAGTAATATATAATATAATATAATATAATATATAATAGGCATAATATTGCTAAAACGACATATTCGCGGTTTGACGAAGTATTCTTTCATCGTCTGTGCCTATACATTATATATGATAATATTTTTTTACACAATAATAATATGGTTTCTCATCATGGTCGGATTATTTTCTTTCTTTTTTATATTATTAGATAAATTTAGGGCTGGATTGCACACACATTTACATAAAATTTTACAACTACTAATAATATAAATGTACATAATATACGATACAATTGATATAATAATTTATATAAAGAACAAACAGTCTTAATATTATTAATAAATGTTTTAAAATTAAAACGTAAATTTTAGAGTTAGTAAAAAAAAAAAATAGGTATAATAATTCATTTAAACAATGTCAAAAAGAACAATTATTAATAATCAACTAAGTATATAATTTCAAAACTCCATTTTTTTTCATTTTTTTTTTTTTTGTATTTTTACTAACATTATCACTTCTTAATTATTGATTTTTGAAATACATTATGAACAACATACAATTAATTTAAACTTAACACGTAAAAGAAGTACAGCTTTAATATAGATAATCGAAATAATATTCCAACTTCACAGTTGAGCAAATTTAACTAAATATAATAATTTTATGAATGTATATATATTTATTTATATTATAACAACAACTTCACATCTATCCTCATGCCTGATGGCGGATTTTTGTTGTTGTTTTTCAATCTTATTTTAATAATTATTTTCATAATTAATATTATTATTTACAGATGATTCGTAATAAAAACATCATTACCAACAGCTTAACTATTACAATATGATTCATGAAGCACAAAAATAAATTTTATACCAACAAATTTAAGTGTGCTATTGTAAAAGTAAAGGAGGGAGGGGGAGATTGATAACTCGCTGCCGTATGGCGCTCCACTCTAGGTGGATGAATACGCTCGTAGCGAGAACTTAAGTACGATTGTCATTTGCAACTCTATAATTTAAAAATATATTATGAGAAAAAAATACATAATAATATAAACTTAATACTGTCAACAAGATAAATAAAACGTTTCCGCGCATTCAACATATATTCAACAAATAAGGACGGTTACATAAATATTGCTTAAGTTTTTTAAGGCACTCGTTGCTTTGATCAGTACGAAAACATTTTATCGTATTAATAAAATAAACGTTATTTAAACGCGAATTCACAACACTCAATTTGTCATACTTATTTAAATTAAAAAATATAAATACCTACATACACGTACACGCAGGGTAATTATTTTGATGTAAATCGTTAAATATTGGTCTGAAAAATGTCATTCATATGTAAGTAATAGCATTTGATATAGTTATAAATGATAACGGCAATTGTAAAAATTTAAATTCATTAAAAATTATAGTCATCTATACCTATATGGTATACATTTATTTGTTGTCATTTACTAGTTGTAAAAGAGTCTATGGACATAGAAAATGTATGGATATGTTTAAATATTTTAGAGACTATAGTACGAAATATCCCCAAAAGTCATGTTTCACATACTTTTATAGAGACGTTGAAAAATATATATTTAAAATCTCCCTTACATAAAATCTTGCGTGAAAAAATAATTTATAAATACAAATGTTTAATATATTAGGTTTGTAGTAAAAAAAAATGTCATACCCTGTAAAATTTAACCCTTATCATTTTGGCAGTGAACGAAAATAAAATAATATTACATCAATTTTATTAGAGTTTCCATCGATGAAAATAGGCTGTCCACTACTATTATAATACACGATCAGCCAAATAATTCGTTTAAATGCTTGTTTTGCGTGTACGTTTATTGGCGTGTGGCTGCAGCGACGGAACTACGTCAACCACAACGTTTCGACATTTTAACTCCAAGCTATACCGGAGTTTTGTTTTTATTTTATAATCCAATTCGCCGGTGTTTACGCGCATTGGTCATTGATAATAATAATATTTATTATAATCTATACAAACCTAAATCGGAACAATCGATAATCGGTTACGTGACATACGCGCAATAACACCGCTACGTCGGGGTGATACTCTACATTATATTAGTATAATAATTTAGTAATAACGTCATACACAATTTTTTACACGTCATTCGACACACATACATACGTTCATATTTCTTAGACTAGGTTAATATGACAAACATATCTTGTGCACACGTACGCACACACAAAATAAATATAATTTATATATAATTTTTAAACTTCTTAATGAGGGTGACATTAAAAAAAAAAAAAAAGAGAAAAAAAACAGTTTATATACGAAACGTGTTTTTAAAGCCAAGTCAAAATCGATCCTGGTTTATTGTTCGGGTCGATCAACAGTTGTACTTCGTCCAGAATGTCATTACCAAAATCGTCCCCTAACTAGAAAACATAAAAAAATAATAATATAATAAACTACAATAACACCACACGGGAGTTTGGCCAAAACAGGTCGGGTATATTTGCTATATTATTGCAATTCATTAATTTTTATAGTAAGTCAATTGTATTTACTTGAAGCGACGGGACTAAGTCTTCGGTGACATCCAACGTGGCCATTTCTTGTGAATCGACTACCGACATGTCGGATGAAGGACCCGGATTATCGCTCTCTGCGTGTGTACAACAGGTGCCAGAACAAAGAAAAACGAAACGAAATATTAATGATAAAAAAATAAATACCGTTAGGTCGGATTATTATTGTTGCTATTATTATTACAACAATATCGACTTATCGTGTATACCTGTTAATATATAGGTACCTATTATACGAAAAAAAAGTCTCTGGTTCTTACCTGAAGTACAGTCCATGTTGTCGTCCATGTTTGACGACAAAAAGTCTTCGGGAGTGTGCGGCAGCGAGTAGTTGTTTCCCAAACCCAAACCGCTGTCAGCCGATTCTTGCCGCGAATGATCAACGCTATTGCTGCTGCACGATAGGAACGGGTCGAGGTCGTTGTTCGTCTGACCCGTGCGTAACATCAGATCTTGCTGTGAACATAAAAACATATTCGCGCATATTTTAATACATTATAATCACATGACGGTGCAATTATATTTAAAACGCCAATTGAATTATAATCGTTTTCCGATGCAATGACGACGTCACTGCAGGTCGTCTCACACCGGTATATAAGCGCCACCAAGGATCTATTAGGCACCGATAAAAAAGATCATTGTAAGACTCTATATAAATGATACAGAAGAATCTATTCGAAAATATGCATATAAAACCTCTTTATTATAATTTCAAAAATCATAATTTGGATAAAATTTACTATATGTATAAATAAGAATAAAAAGGAGCACAGAACATACCTATTATATCCTTGGTGAATCTACCCATTAAATTTTAGCAACACCCCCCCCCCCCCAGCAACTACGTGCCAATGATTTAGATCTAGTAGGTGCAGATCTCTATAGATCACATGTATTTAATCATATATTATATTGACTATAATAATCTACATATAGCTTACAGGTCAATATACAAATAGCTGTTGCATACCTGACGAATGATTTCCTGTTGGCGACTCTTTAGATGTTCACGCTCTAATTGAAGTGAGTGTAACCTGAGCTTTTGCTGAGTGACTTGGAGCGACTGTGACAAACCGGAAGCTCCGTTTAACAGCCATGACGCTGAACCGGAAGGCAACACGGCGCCCGACGTTGGTGCTCTTTGTAAATGAACGGCTGTAAACATAAACATATTGAATATCATATACATGGTAGGTTCCTGTATGAATTGTTCCAACAAGTGACACATGGATGGGGCGGTCGATTGAGTGAGTGAAATAATTTTGACTAAAATATTAATAGTCCGTTTGGACAAGAAAAATTATTTGTACCTGTGTAAGTGATAAGGACTTAACGTGCATCATGAGCGTTTATTTTTTTTTTTATATTATGAAAATGTACATTATTGTATTATACAATATATACATTACAGTACATATATTATATATTTTATATGTATAAATTAATTAATTTATATGCCTCATTCATACTTTTTTGCCCAAACAGATCACATTTTGGATCGATTTATACTCAAATAGTCTATAGGCCTGCATGTTTTTCCATGCCGTAGTGTATAAAATAGATAATTAAATAATACTTACGTATTCTTGGATCGAACCACGATGTGGTTCTGGCAATGTGATTTATGAAGTAAGTCTCTCCATCCCCGGTGACGGCTTGTTCCCATCCGTCCGGCAGTGGTCCTAGTGTCACGTTTTTGTTCGTTCCTATAACAAGAGCCGAAACGTAAGGGGGTTAAAAGTCGACTTAAATAATTGAGCTGGATCATTTTTGTTTGCGTTCGCGGGTCTCCTTAGCAACGACCGCACGGTGCACATAATGTAGACCCATAAAGGTTATACATGTTACTCATAACACTAAAAAGCTCATTATAATATGATATAATATTTTAAGTAATATTTTAAGTATATATTATAATACTATCGTGGTATAAAAGAAATATAGCGAATGAAAATTTTAACTCACCTTGGAGGGTCGAATGGATGTGCGGTGGCGAGTTTGTAGGCGTGCTGGTGGCGTTCGTGCTTGATCCACTGTCGTTGCCGGGGCTTAGCAATTGTTCGGCGCTGCGCTGGTGTTGGTTTGCTGCCTGAGCAGCCAAGCTCTTTCTCGGATCTTCCCATTGGGTCGTTCTGGTGAGGTGACTATATAGAAAAAACAAAAAATATTCAATTTTAGATTTTTTTGTGACGAAAAAATAGTTTAACAAAATAATATTATATCGTTGACATTGATCCGCGGTTAAGTGATGACTTTATATGTGGTACTGAGAAGGAGTTTGAAAAAAAATTTTGATTGCGAACACGTCACATATTAGGTACATAAGTATTAAGTACCTATACTTTTTTTCGCAGAGTGTAGATAATGAACAATACTTTGAGGGAGTAGCTATATACTCACATAAAATATAAATACTAGACATGCAACCTTATTTAATGCCGTCGACGTATTAGGCACAACTCGCAATAATAATATATCACAGTCTAAGTACAATAATTGACAGACTCTTGAATAATAAATTAAATAAACTTCTTTGTACCAATATGATGTATTTAATTGCATGATCGACGAATTTCTTTAAAATAACGAGCTGCACAATTATATAAAATGTGTGTATATGCATAATAGGTATATAAATCAAATGTTGCATACAAATATTAACATATAATAATATTACTATTTATTTTAATATTATATTATATTATATTTAATTAATGATGAGTGCATGTAGTGTGACTATTAATTGAAATATAACTAATTATTGCACGATAATACGTATTATTTACCTATATTTGAATGAATACTTGACCTATTACATACAAGAACCTATCTAATAGTTTAAGTACGTGAATAAGTATATGTATAATATAAACGCATTTACGTATATTACTCAACATTAGTCATCGTTTTGATGGTTGAGTTTTAAGTTAACTCGAGTATTCGCGCGGGCGGGCGGACTATTAAATTTACACTGGTCACGGCACAGGCACCAGTTTTCCGCGGATGCGTATTCGAAAAACGGTTTGGTGTAATTTAAGTATTCCGACAAAAAAACGCTAGTTGTTGTTTTTTTTTTTATTTTTTATTTTTTAATACGTTTACAATAATCAGTGACGGTGTCGATTGTCTAGAGCTATCTGCTACAGTTCTGTACGACATATTATACTTAAAATGTTCGTCATATAAATTCATGCGGATGTGTATTTAAAAAAAAAAATCCACGTTACCGAAGTTTACGTATATTTTGATACGATCGCGCGCGCCAACGGAAAAACAATATAATATACTCCTCATACATCATGTATAATAACAGTATATTTATTGTTATAGTATAACACACGTCTATAATATATCAAAATATTACATTATATAATACACAGGCGCCGGTTGTACATCATAATAAATCTGTTTACGTAGTAGTACGCGTCAGCTATATTTGCACTGTTTAAAAAATAAGCATAATATTTATATACAAATATTCCGAATTATTACCGTCGTCTGAACTCTGAAACGATAATAATTACTCGTACGCATAGTACCTCTAGCTGCGCAGTACGTACACGTATTATAATTTTGTATAAATAATATACTGTACATACATCGTCCACTGCGTACACAGATTTGCAGGCGCACTGACCGGGTATTTGGCAAGCGTATATAAATAATAACATACAGCAGCAGCTAAATAATATTGTATATAATAATATTATGAATTACGAGTTTTCGATAGTATTTATTATTGCCGGCGCGTCTGATATTGCTCAAAAGTGACGCCCACACGACCCGGCGAAACAGACGAGCACACGTTTTATACAACATTATTATAATGTGTACTGCATGATATGGGTATCCGCGTCGACCTCACTGCGATGTGTGAATAAATCCGATGCACAGACGAGCCTATTTATTTTACTCACGGCGTTATTATTATTATATTCACGCATATTTTCACGACGATAATATTATGTAGGTGCACGCGCGCCGGGGCCGGGGAATAAATTTGGCCGCGAACCGGCTGCGGCGGTAAGGTTTTCGGACCTCCGAAAACGAAAATGTATAATAATATGTAGGCATAGTTGCAGTAGTACTACACGCGGCCGACACATCTGCGCGTACATACATAATATAATTATGTGTATAACATGCGAAGCTGGCGAAGACGACCGATCGCCCGAATTGGACTATATACGTGTATGATACATAATATACTATAATACGTATGGGTACGTTTTAATAACCGTCTACGTGTAGTGTCGATGCACTCGCAGGTATAACGACGTTGGACCGTCGCGGGCAACGCGTCGACGATGGATAATATTATTGAGCACGTGAAGTGTAAATCGTCGCAATAGGTACGTCTATATACATCTCTCAACGTTGGCCCATATTTTCTCTCCAAAGCCGCGAACGTAGGTATATCATTACAACAGCAGGTGGGTACCATCGATTAGCTGCTTTCCGTCCCAAACGTTTATCTTTTGAACACTTCGTTGCGGACAATGATAATAAAATGATAATAATAATTGCACCCCGTGTGTTGTGTTGCGTCTACCTCTTATCGCACGGTATCGCGCGTCGTATATCTTTATAGCGACGATGGTCTTGCAGAAACGTTTTAGAAAGTTTCGTACCTATTGGATACAATTTTTCCTAGTCTAAAATTCACTCTATCCGCGAGACACCATAAACGCACAATTAGACACGGGTACGGAATAGGTACTCGCGGATTACCAGCTATGATAAGACTTAAAATATGATCGATTGTGATATCGTAGGTATAACATAAAATATTACGTATACAGCGATTCGCTGAGCTCGACACTGCAGATTATTATTATTTTGATGGAGATCAAATTTTTCGACGAAGGGAATCCGTGACACTTGTAACCCCGATGAAAGTCCAACCCCCCTTGGCCGGCCTGAAACGAGACTGCTCTCGACGACGGCGTCGGGGAGGACTGTAATAAATTATTATAATATAGAAGGGTCAATGGTGCAGCAGCGAGACGTATTTATATTAGAGTCTAGAGACGACGAAATATATATTTTTTTACTAAGCGACCCAATACGTAAATCCGTTCGACTCGGCAAAACAGACGCGCGAGCGGACACACACACACACACACACACACACGGTTATCAATTATCATTGACGTGCTCACACGGTCAACATTTCGAGCTCGTAAATATTGTCTCGCTAACAATCGGGCCCTATTGACGGCGGTTCGGGCCAAATCTTCTCTCTCACACGCTCGTCGATCTGCTTTTCCCCCGTCTCACCCTCGCTCACTTATACATTATACTGCAGCCTCACTCAATCACTCTGTCTCTGTCTCTCTCTTTCTTCTCTCTCGGTCGGTCTTCTTCCATTGCGTCGAACGTCGTGAGGCGGCGGCATTTCTACCGCCGTCGACGACGTCGTCGCCACCGTCGCGTCTTACCGTTCCCACGGTCTTTGGGCGACGCGAATATAAATAACTACACTCGTGTGCGCTCCGTTTAATCAGTTGTTTTTTTTTTTTTTTATTTTATTTTTTTACGTATACGACAACACAAAACGATACACACTCACACACACAATAATAATAAATATAATAATAACAACAATAATAGTACACAATGTGACGATAAATAAAAATGGCATCTTATTGTTCGGCATGCGAGCGGTTTGATAAGCGGCCGACCTTCGATGTGGAACCTTATCTCATCTTAGAGCCACCGCCTTTTTATTATACACACAAAAATCATAAAAAGCTTTATCGTATAGTAATAATTATATTAATAAAAAAATTACACACACACGCATGTACATTTAATATTATAATCCGTTATTCAAGGAGGCATTTCCTTCGGAGATAAAAAAAAATAATAAAAAGCCACCTCATGTTTAGTACCTACCGCCACCACTATCGACGTTGTCTACACAACGTTGTTTGCGATTTATGTGATTTGCACACTCGACACAATAATATTATATTTTAGTAATAATATTATATTAAAATAATCGTTAGTGCGCACAACAATAATATTATTATCATCATTGGCGGCGGCGGAAAAACAAAACCGTGACTCATATTTTATTTTAAGAGCCGTGATTTTTTTAACGTTTGAGCGCGTGCACTTGGATTATTTCGTACGAACCGTAACAATAATGTCTTATGTTATAATAACAGGTGGACGCGTTTAAAATTCGAACGTTTCGATTCGTGATTTAGTAGAATTTTGACTTTAAAGTTTATCGCGATGTCTACACAGTGCAACACCGACTCGGACAAGCGGTCGGTATATAGAATTCTCAGTAAGATACTATATGGGTATTTTTATTATATAGACCACTCGTAGAATCTACAACACGATACCTATATTTTGCCTGTGCACCGATGTCTCTGGTGCGCCGGTACCAGTGGTATGATATTGTATCACTCTGTTTTTCGACTTTACAGTCGTGGACTCGAATTGCGCGACGAGTGTTATCTCCCTTGCCCAATCGGTAAGCGAATGTTTGACTTCTCAGTCGACTTTCAGTTAAGCGATTTATTTTTTGTTGACTGTTCCACACAAAAATGTTCGATTTTATAACCACAGATTTTCCGACTCCTCTTGCTGTATCTACAAAAGACAAATTTCTTCGAAAGTCCTAATTGAAAAAATGCAGACTATTGTAGCACTTGCATGTATGAAAATCGTATGCGATGCACTCCAACAGAAATCAATTCAAAAGCTCTCCCCCCCCCCCGAGTACTGCTGCTGTCGGCTTTAACACTCACGTGACCACTGTACACGTCGTACGGCCATCACCGTCTCGGGATATACGTTGAATTCTATTCGTTTTGCGCGGAAAGCTTTGTTGCTCACACCCGACTACCTTGTACACGATGATATTATTATATTATACCTAGAGTACAACACAAGTCGCAAAGAAATCCGACCGTATACCGGACCGGCGTGTGCGGTCGGCAGTACACAGTGTTATTATATAGTAGTGCCGTGGTGGGCCATTATTATATTGTACCTAGCTGGAAACCGGTTCGTCGGCTTGCGCTCGATAGTCGTCGTCCCGTTCGACGACGGCGACGGTCGTTTTAATCCTTCCTGTACGTTTCAAAATATATACAATATTCCTGGCCGAGATCGTCCCCCGTAA